GCCTCCAGTACCCCTAGCTTGTCTCCATGGAATCTTCTGTGGGTAGAGTAGGTCTCCAGTACCCCGAGCTTGTCTCCATGGAATCTCCTGGTGTAGAGTAGGTCTCCAGTACCCCAAGCTTCTCTCCATGGAATCTCCTGGTGTAGAGTAGGTCTCCAGTACCCCTAGCTTGTCTCCATGGAATCTTCTGTGGGTAGAGTAGGTCTCCAGTACCCCAAGCTTGTCTCTATGGAATCTCCTGGTGTAGAGTAGGTCTCCAGTACCCCTAGCTTGTCTCCATGGAATCTTCTGTGGGTAGAGTAGGTCTCCAGTACCCCTAGCTTGTCTCCATGGAATCTTCTGTGGGTAGAGTAGGTCTCCAGTACCCCAAGCTTCTCTCCATGGAATCTCCTGGTGTAGAGTAGGTCTCCAGTACCCCTAGCTTGTCTCCATGGAATCTTCTGTGGGTAGAGTAGGTCTCCAGTACCCCAAGCTTGTCTCTATGGAATCTCCTGGTGTAGAGTAGGTCTCCAGTACCCCTAGCTTGTCTCCATGGAATCTTCTGTGGGTAGAGTAGGTCTCCAGTACCCCTAGCTTGTCCCCATGGAATCTTCTGTGGGTAGAGTAGGTCTCCAGTACCCCTAGCTTGTCTCCATGGAATCTCCTGGTGTAGAGTAGGTCTCCAGTACCCCAAACTAGTCCCAATGGAATCTTCTGTGGGTAGAGTAGGTCTCCAGTACCCCAAGCTTGTCTCCATGGAATCTCCTGGTGTAGAGTAGGTCTCCAGTACCCCATGCTTGTCTCCATGGAATCTTCTGTGGGTAGAGTAGGTCTCTAGTACCCCAAGCTTGTCTCCATGGAATCTTCTGTGGGTAGAGTAGGTCTCCAGTACCCCAAACTAGTCCCAATGGAATCTTCTGTGGGTAGAGTAGGTCTCCAGTACCCCTAGCTTGTCTCCATGGAATCTTCTGTGGGTAGAGTAGGTCTCCAGTACCCCTAGCTTGTCTCCATGGAATCTCCTGTGGGTAGAGGAGGTCTCCAGTACCCCAAGCTTGTCCCCATGGAATCTTCTGTGGGTAGAGTAGGTCTCCAGTACCCCAAGCTTGTCTCCATGGAATCTCCTGGTGTAGAGTAGGTCTCCAGTACCCCAAGCTTGTCTCCATGGAATCTCCTGGTGTAGAGTAGGTCTCCAGTACCCCTAGCTTGTCTCCATGGAATCTCCTGGTGTAGAGTAGGTCTCCAGTACCCCAAACTAGTCCCAATGGAATCTTCTGTGGGTAGAGTAGGTCTCCAGTACCCCAAGCTTGTCTCCATGGAATCTCCTGGTGTAGAGTAGGTCTCCAGTACCCCTAGCTTGTCTCCATGGAATCTTCTGTGGGTAGAGTAGGTCTCCAGTACCCCTAGCTTGTCTCCATGGAATCTTCTGTGGGTAGAGTAGGTCTCCAGTACCCCTAGCTTGTCTCCATGGAATCTTCTGTGGGTAGAGTAGGTCTCCAGTACCCCAAGCTTGTCTCCATGGAATCTCCTGGTGTAGAGTAGGTCTCAAGTACCCCTAGCTTGTCTCCATGGAATCTTCTGTGGGTAGAGTAGGTCTCCAGTACCCCAAGCTTGTCTCTATGGAATCTCCTGGTGTAGAGTAGGTCTCCAGTACCCCTAGCTTGTCTCCATGGAATCTCCTGGTGTAGAGTAGGTCTCCAGTACCCCAAACTAGTCTCCATGGAATCTTCTGTGGGTAGAGTAGGTCTCCAGTACCCCAAGCTTGTCTCCATGGAATCTCTTGGTGTAGAGTAGGTCTCCAGTACCCCATGCTTGTCTCCATGGAATCTTCTGTGGGTAGAGTAGGTCTCCAGTACCCCAAACTAGTCCCAATGGAATCTTCTGTGGGTAGAGTAGGTCTCCAGTACCCCTAGCTTGTCTCCATGGAATCTTCTGTGAGTAGAGTAGGTCTCCAGTACCCCTAGCTTGTCCCCATGGAATCTTCTGTGGGTAGAGTAGGTCTCCAGTACCCCAAACTTGTCTCCATGGAATCTCCTGGGCTAGAGTAGGTCTCCAGTACCCCTAGCTTATCCCCATGGAATCTTCTGTGGGTAGAGTAGGTCTCCAGTACCCCTAGCTTGTCTCCATGGAATCTCCTGTGGGTAGAGGAGGTCTCCAGTACCCCAAGCTTGTCCCCATGGAATCTCCTGGTGTAGAGTAGGTCTCCAGTACCCCAAGCTTGTCCCCATGGAATCTTCTGTGGGTAGAGGAGGTCTCCAGTACCCCAAGCTTGTCCCCATGGAATCTCCTGGTGTAGAGTAGGTCTCCAGTACCCCGAGCTTGTCTCTATGGAATCTCCTGGTGTAGAGTAGGTCTCCAGTACCCCAAGCTTGTCCCCATGGAATCTTCTGTGGGTAGAGTAGGTCTCCAGTACCTCAAGCTTGTCCCCATGGAATCTTCTGTTGGTAGAGTAGGTCTCCAGTACCCCAAGCTTGTCCCCATGGAATCTCCTGGTGTAGAGTAGGTCTCCAGTACCCCAAGCTTGTCCCCATGGAATCTTCTGTGGGTAGAGTAGGTCTCCAGTACCTCAAGCTTGTCCCCATGGAATCTTCTGTGGGTAGAGTAGGTCTCCAGTACCCCAAGCTTGTCCCCATGGAATCTCCTGTGGGTAGAGTAGGTCTCCAGTACCATGAGCTTGTCCCCATGGAATCTCCTGGTGTAGAGTAGGTCTCCAGTACCCCAAGCTTGTCCCTATGGAATCTTCTGTGGGTAGAGTAAGTCTCCAGTACCCTGAGCTTGTCCCCATGGAATCTCCTGGTGTAGAGTAGGTCTCCAGTACCCCAAGCTTGTCCCCATGGAATCTTCTGTGGGTAGAGTAGGTCTCCAGTACCCCAAGCTTGTCCCCATGGAATCTTCTGTGGGTAGAGTAGGTCTCCAGTACCCCAAGCTTGTCCCCATGGAATCTTCTGTGGGTAGAGTAGGTCTCCAGTACCTCAAGCTTGTCCCCATGGAATCTTCTGTTGGTAGAGTAGGTCTCCAGTACCCCAAGCTTGTCCCCATGGAATCTCCTGGTGTAGAGTAGGTCTCCAGTACCCCAAGCTTGTCCCCATGGAATCTTCTGTGGGTAGAGTAGGTCTCCAGTACCTCAAGCTTGTCCCCATGGAATCTTCTGTGGGTAGAGTAGGTCTCCAGTACCCCAAGCTTGTCCCCATGGAATCTCCTGTGGGTAGAGTAGGTCTCCAGTACCATGAGCTTGTCCCCATGGAATCTCCTGGTGTAGAGTAGGTCTCCAGTACCCCAAGCTTGTCCCTATGGAATCTTCTGTGGGTAGAGTAGGTCTCCAGTACCCTGAGCTTGTCCCCATGGAATCTCCTGGTGTAGAGTAGGTCTCCAGTACCCCAAGCTTGTCCCCATGGAATCTTCTGTGGGTAGAGTAGGTCTCCAGTACCCCAAGCTTGTCCCCATGGAATCTTCTGTGGGTAGAGTAGGTCTCCAGTACCCCAAGCTTGTCTCCATTAAATCTTCTGTGGGTAGAGTAGGTCTCCAGTACCCCGAGCTTGTCCCCATGGAATCTCCTGTGGGTAGAGTAGGTCTCCAGTACCCCAAGCTTGTCTCCATGGAATCTCCTGGGCTAGAGTAGGTCTCCAGTACCCCAAGCTTGTCTCCATTAAATCTTCTGTGGGTAGAGTAGGTCTCCAGTACCCCAAGCTTGTCTCAATGGAATCTCCTGTGGGTAGCGTAGGTCTCCAGTACCCCAAGCTTGTCTCCATTAAATCTTCTGTGGGTAGAGTAGGTCTCCAGTACCCCAAGCTTGTCTCCATTAAATCTTCTGTGGGTAGAGTAGGTCTCCAGTACCCCAAGCTTGTCTCAATGGAATCTCCGGGGCTAGAGTAGGTCTCCAGTACCCCAAGCTTGTCTCCATTAAATCTTCTGTGGGTAGAGTAGGTCTCCAGTACCCTAAGCTTGTCCCCATGGAACTCCTGTGGGTAGAGTAGGTCTCCAGTACCCCAAGCTTGTCCCCATGGAATCTCCTGTGGGTAGAGTAGGTCTCCAGTACCCTGAGCTTGTCCCCATGGAATCTCCTGGTGTAGAGTAGGTCTCCAGTACCCCAAGCTTGTCCCCATGGAATCTTCTGTGGGTAGAGTAGGTCTCCAGTACCCCAAGCTTGTCCCCATGGAATCTTCTGTGGGTAGAGTAGGTCTCCAGTACCCCAAACTTGTCTCCATGGAATCTCCTGGGCTATAGTAGGTCTCCAGTATCCCAAGCTTGTCTCCATTAAATCTTCTGTGGGTAGAATAGGTCTCCAGTACCCCAAGCTTGTCCCCATGGAATCTTCTGTGGGTAGAGTAGGTCTCCAGTACCCCAAACTAGTCCCAATGGAATCTTCTGTGGGTAGAGGAGGTCTCCAGTACCCCAAGCTTGTCCCCATGGAATCTTCTGTGGGTAGAGAAGGTCTCCAGTACCCCAAGCTTGTCTCCATGGAATCTTCTGTGGGTAGAGTAGGTCTCCAGTACCCCAAGCTTGTCCCCATGGAATCTTCTGTGGGTAGAGTAGGTCTCCAGTACCCCAAGCTTGTCTCCATGGAATCTTCTGTGGGTAGAGTAGGTCTCCAGTATCCCTAGCTTGTCCCCATGGAATCTTCTGTGGGTAGAGTAGGTCTCCAGTACCCCAAGCTTGTCTCCATGGAATCTTCTGTGGGTAGAGTAGGTCTCCAGTACCCCAAGCTTGTCTCCATGGAATCTCCTGGTGTAGAGTAGGTCTCCAGTACCCCAAGCTTGTCCCCATGGAATCTTCTGTGAGTAGAGTAGGTCTCCAGTACCCCAAGCTTGTCCCCACAATGGAAGCCAGGGCAGAATAGGTGTACAATTTCAGACCTCTAACACCCTGATATTTTGTTTGATGTGAAACAGTAATATAATATTCCAAATCTTCTGGAATAATGCATAGGCAATACTCACATGACTAGTAGGGATTAGTCATGCTTCCTGTGAATGTCCAAATATTTTGTTTGAGATTGACACCTGCGTTGTTTATTGTTTTTCAAGTTGCAAGCCCAGATGGTCATATTGGAAGAAAACAAAAACAAGTCTGCTGGCTGCTACTATCTGTTTGAGCTGAGTCATCAGGATATCTGCCCAAATAAGCCAGCCAGTAACCTCAGCCTGGGCTCCATCTTCATCATAGTGTGAGTTGTACAGCAGTATATTGGGTTCCATGTACCTCGATACTATAGGGGGGCGGTCGGGTAGCCTAGTGGTTAAAGCGTTCGCTCGTCAAGCCGAAGACCCGGGTTCGATTCCCGACATGGGTACAATGTGTGAAGCCCATTTCTGGTGTCCCCCGCCGTGATATTGCTGGAATATTGCTAAAAGCGGCGTAAAACCATACTCACTCACTCACTCACTCGATACCATAGATGCACTTTGAGTGCGATACCATTTGTATCCCGATACTATGGGTTCGATACGATTCATATCCTGATACTATGGCTGCAATATGAATAGTATCCTGAAACTATGGGGGCAGGACGAATTATAACCCGATAGTATAGGTGTGATACGATTTGTATCCGGATAATATGGTGATACAATTCATATCCCATTACTATGGGTGCAGTATGAATCCTATCCCAATATTATGGGTGCAGTACAAATCGTATCCCAATACTATGGGTGCAGTACGAATTGTATCCTGATACAATGGGTGTGAGACAATTCGTATCCCGATACTATTGCTGCAGTACGAATTGTATCCTGATACTATGGGTGGGATACAATTTGTATCCTGATACTATAGGTATGATACGATTCGTATCCCGATACTATAGGTGCGATATGATTCGTATCCCGATTCAGTACTTTCATGTCATAAGTTGATATTCTTTCTTTTTGGAGGTGAATCACACACCCTGAATCATTTGTTTTTGAATTTCAGAGATGGAAGATGGGAACTTGTAAGGCAGAAACATTAGCTAGAGGGCCCTGTGAATGTTATGCTATGTATAGCCAACCGGCAAATACTAGAGATTCAATATGAGCTGGTTATTGCACAGTTTCAGTTTATATTATCTCCCCGGCATATAATGCAGGGGGATATAGCGATCAGCCAATCTGTCTGTCCGTCCATCTGTCCGTCTGTAATCATTTCCTTTTCCGGGGCAGAATTCGAAAACCATTCAGTGTATTTGATCGAAACTTGGCAAATCTATCAGGCACATACTGAAGTGGTGCCTTTTGATATTTGGGGATTTTTCTAATTTTTATCTTTTTTTCTATTTTTATGGAATGAAGTTGGACATAGACTCAATTGGGGATGGGGTTCGTTTCCGGGGCAGAATTCGAAAACCATTCAGTGTATTTGATCGAAACTTGGCAAATCTATCAGGCACATACTGAAGTGGTGCCTTTTGATATTTATTTTTTTACGAATTTTTATTTTTTACAATTTTTATGGAAAGAAGTTGGACCTAGACTCCATTGGGGAACGGGTTCGTTTCCGGGCCAGAATTCGAAAAACCATTCAGTGGGTAAACAATGTATGCTTCTTAAAGAACATTAAACTGTTGACTCATTACATACAGAATTGCACATTTACTAGTGGTTACTTTACAGACAGCTGCCGGGGGGATATGTCATCTTTCTGATGACTCTTGTTCACATGTTTTTACACCAATACAACTTGTAATGTCATCTATCGTGTGTATTGGGATACAGGGGTTGTAAAATGCTGTATTGTTACACCCCTATTGTAAAGTGACTCATCATCATGTATATTTCTTCCCTATTCTGTCTTTCCTGCCTTAGAATGGCCAAGTTGTTGAAGGCACAGGAAGTCACTGTACAGAGTTGTGGCTCTTATGCATGCCCAGATCCTATGATGATTAGTTTGAATCCCAATTTGCCCTGATGATGTTTGAGTTTGTCAGCACCATACCTGTGCTTGTAGTTACCAAAGTGGTAGCCGTCTAAAATAAGGATCACTTTTGGCTTTCGTACCATACCAAACTGTCCTACCATTATACTCTGTTCAAAGTGAGGGGGCACGGGTGGCCCAGTCGTCTAAGGCACTGCGATTTGCTGTGCAGTGTTGCATCCCTTGGGCATGCCAGAAACCTGTGATTGTGGGTTCGAATCCCGGTTCGCCCCAATTATGTTTCTAGGTTTGTCAGTACCATACCCGTGCTCGTGGGTTTCACTGAAGTGGTAAACATCTTAGACCTGCATCACTTCGGGCTTTCCTCCCACATTAAGCTGACATGCCGTGATATAACTGGAATAATGTTAAAAGCAGCGTTAAAACCAGCTCACTCACTCACTGTTCAAAGTGGCTTTTAACCATCTCAAATGCTCACTCGCTTACCCTGCAATCTAAGGGTAAGTTGTGCATTGGAATCTTTTTCACGATTTTCCATAAATACTGACTTTGGCCTTGGACCCCTTTTACCACACATTTGCTATGTTAGAGTTATGACTGTTTGGGGGTTAATTGGGGGATGATTGCAATGAAGTGTCTGCTGTGATAGCCTCGATAATCCAGTGTGTTATCAGACACATGGGGATTCCAGGTTATGATTGACCCCTAGCAACCTGTGCTGGTTGTAACAGGCAACTTAATGGATTGGGTGGTCAGGCTTGGTGACTTGGTTGATTGGTCATTTGCTCATAATATCAATCACTGGATTGTCTGGTTCAGGCTCGATTGTTTACCAGTCGCCATCCTATAGCTGAGTAAGGCATTAAACAATAAACACGTTCCTGTTACAGCATGTTCAGTTTGATAGCTGTGTACCTCTTCTTCGGCTTCCTGTATCAGCGGTTTGTTCTCGGCGCCAAGGGAATGGAACAAGTACCAAATTACGGTTTCTGGCTGGACTTTGGCAACTTACAAGCAGTGAGTAGCTCAGTTGGACATGTGAGCATGGTGAGACAGAATGAATCCCCTGTACCCCATGTGGGAATTCCTGTGATGAATATATCCCCTGTACCCCATGTGGGAATTCCTCGGAACAAATATATCCCCTGTACCCCATGTGGGAATTCCTCGGAACAAATATATCCCCTGTACCCCATGTGGGAATTCCTCGGAACAAATATATCCCCTGTACCCCATGTGGGAATTCTTCAGAACAAATATATCCCCTGTATCCCATGTGAGAATTCCTGGAAACAATAGATCCCCTCTATCCCATGTCGGAATTCCTGTGATGAATAAATCCCCTGTATCCCGTGTGGGAATTCCTGGTATCAATAAATCCCCTGTACCCCATGTGGGAATTCCTGTGATGAATATATCCCCAGTATGCCATGTGGGAATTCCTGGGAACAAATATATCCCCTGTACCCCATGTGGGAATTCCTGTGATGAATATATCCCCTGTACCCCATGTGGGAATTCCTGGAAACAAATAGATCCCCTCTACTTAAGTGGGTATTCCTGTTATGAATATATCCCCAGTACCCCATGTGGGAATTTCTGTGATGAATATATCCCCAGTACTTCATGTGGGAATTCCCCGAATCAGTAAATCCCCTCTACCCCATGTGGGAATTCCTGGGAACAGATAGATCCCCTCTACCTCAAGTGGGAATTCCTGTGATGAATATATCCCCTGTACCCCATGTGCGATTTCCTGTGATGAATATATCCCCTGTACCCCATGTGGGAATTCCTGGGAACAAATATATCCCCTCTACCTCAAGTTGGAATTCCTGTGATGAATATATCCCCTGTACCCCATGTGCGATTTCCTGTGATGAATATATCCCCTGTACCCCATGTGGGAATTCCTGGGAACAAATATATCCCCTCTACCTCAAGTTGGAATTCCTGTGATGAATATATCCCCTGTACCCCATGTGGGAATTCCTGGGAACAAATATATCCCCTCTACCTCAAGTTGGAATTCCTGTGATGAATATATCCCCTGTACCCCATGTGAGAATACCAGAAGAGAAAAGATACCCAAAATGCCAAGTAGGGATTACCAGGATAAATAAATGCTCACTGCCCCATTTGGGAATTTCTGTGATGAATAAAACCTGAGTACCCCATATGAGAATTTGTGAGAAGAATAGATTGCTAATATGCCAAGTAGGAGTTCCCGCGATGAGTAAGTCCACAGTACCCCATGTAGGAATTCCAGAGAAGAGATCTTCATTCCTTGCTGATGCTATTACATTCCCTCAGTCTTCGTGTACGAGTGTCCATTTGTTGAGGTGGTTGTGCACTGGTGTGACTCCATTAGGATCCACTGGTCATGGGCGTGGCTTCACAAACCACCTTGATTAGGAGTGGTTGTCGGGAGTATAGGCTCAGTCCAGGTTTCCTTACCACATGAGACCGCCTCTGTGGTCTAATGGTAGAGCGTCCGCCCGAGTGGAAGGTCCGGGGTTCGATCCCCAGCCGCGTCATACCAAAAGACGTTACAAGATGGTACTTGTTGTTACCCTGTCTGGCGCTCGGCATTAAGGGGCTAAAACAAGGACAAGGAGTCAGTATACTGTGTCTGAGTGGGGTATTCATGTTAAACTGCGGCATGGTATCTCAGTGGGCTAGCACTATAAATCGGCATCAGTCCGGACTAGTACAAGCAGCCACACACACACACGTGCATGCACGTCGCTATATAAGTGCAATAATCTTGGACGCGACGTTAAAACCCATTTCACCTCACCTCACCTTACCACGTGAGGGGTGGTCGGGTAGCATAGTGGTTAAAGTGTTCGCTCGTCACGCTGAAGTCCCGGGTTTGATTCCCGACATGGGTACAATGTGTGAAGCCCATTTCTGGTGTCCCCCGCCGTGATATTGCTGGAATATTGCTAAAAGCGGTGTAAAACCTTACTCACTCACTCACTCTCTTACCACAGGAAGCTGACGTGCCATGATGTAGCTGACAGCAGAGATGAACCCGACTCACACTCTCATTCTTTGTTGTAGGATGGCTGCAACTTTGTGTGCCGGACTGGAGAAAATCGTGGACCACGCACGTACAAGGGGGTTGGGGATGATCAGTTGGACGATATGGAGGAGAGAGACGACCACCTGCTGCCCATGTAGAGGGGTCGGACGGGGAGTTGGGGTGGGGATGGGTGGGATGGGGGGTGTTTGGAGAAGCTAACGTATTTGCCTTATCGCGTGGTCAGAGGAACCTTACGTTGGGGGGCGGGGCAACATGGGGGAGGGAACAGTGTAGCTTATATAGACTTATTTGTCTTGTGGGTTGGGGTTGTTTTTTTTATATTTTTCTATGAATCAGAGTGTTTTGGATGGTTACAGGTTAGAAATTAAGTGTGCTAGACCAGAGTAGTTGAATAAAGGAAGAACTAATAACTTTTCTACCAGTACCAGAGTAGTGGGGTGGCCTCGTGGTTCAAGCGTTTGCTCGTCGCACCTAAGGCCAGGGTTGTTCCCGACATGGATACAATGTGTCAAGCCATGACTGGTGTTCCCGGCCATCATACTGTTGGACTCACTGAATCACTCCACCAGGACAACATTACAATAACATACATGGAAATTCTGTTACAGAACCAATTTGCCTACTTATGAAAATAATGATACTTTCTGACCATGAAGATGTAGACAACCATTGAGGGGTGCGGTGCGGTGGGGGGTTAGATGTTGGGGATGAAGACAAACAGCTGATATAGACTGGGGGTAGGGATATACAGGGGGTGGGAAGGCTGTGTGTAAGTGTAAGATGTATAGTGAACAAGGTGATTCAAATATTAGAAAACTAAATGAGTTGTCTATGTACTTTGTCACATTCAAAACATGTTTTACTTTTATGAGAGAATATAACCTATTGTCAGCCAAGTGATTGAATCTGATTACTGGTCGTATTGAATGAAAGTGTTCTTTTTTGGTTGATTTTAGTTAGGCTCACTTGAAATGATGTGAGTTGCTTGACACATCAATCAAACACGATGTGCTTTAAAAGCGGCAAAAATATGTTGTCGACAATGCGATACAGGATACGAAGGTTTTGTGTACATTCCAGGAGGTAGCATGACATGTGACTGTTTTGTTTTCATTGATGAGTGAAAGTATATTATATGTGCATTTATACCATTGGTGTATATAAGTGTTAATTCACCTCTGTGTCCTTGTATTGCATACATTTGTACAGACAGGGTTCAGCATGCGGAGATCATTCCCGGAAACCACGGCATAAAAGAGTCTGAAAGATATTGCTAGCCAGGTGGACCAGCAGGCCTTAAAACTTACAAGCCAGTTTCAAATTTCACTAGCTTAAATATGCCACAGATTATTTTTCCAGAATAGGATTATACAAAGTTATCAATGATCCTACAAAGGTATCAATAAAGAAAACCGAAATGGCAAATGGTGGGGGGGGGGAACTCTGATCTCGCAACCTTGATTCATTACAGCTACATGTATTAGGCTTACAAAAATAAAAGAATTGGTTCTCAGGCAATGTCTTTTGAAAACATGGGGGGTTGGGGGGGGGGGGTGAAGTAACTGGACACTATATTGGATTTCATTGTTTTTAAGTACAGTAGCAATTCACTACCGGGGTCATGTGTTCAATATTTGGAAAATGTAAGGATATATTTTTGGGGAAGATGGAAATAAAAAAACCATACCACAGTGAACCAAGACTATTATTTTTTTAGCCTTAAGTTGATTGTGGATGGTCGTATTGATCTACAGTTAAGGGAGAACTGTTTTTTTATTTTGACCAACTGAGTTGTGCTTTGACATTTTGTTTTGAATTTGTTACAGGAAATTTATGGGAAATTAAATTCTGGAAAAAATATACCTGTCACATATTTACAATTCAGGCTGTCAGCATAAACCATGAAATTTACGATCTTTCAACGCTGTTGTTTTTCACCAAAATAATACTCTAATAAGAGCCCCCTATTTCTAACTTTGAGAGCGCCCTGGGCGCTTATTATGTCGAATACGGTATCCCGAATGACTCGTTCTAGGCTTGTTCTAATTGTATTATGCTGTTTAAGCCTTTTGTTTTGTGCTGAGGTAAGTCTGAGTATTATCAGACAGGGTATTTCAAATGTTCTAAGTATTACTTTTTTTTAAAGTTTTTGAATTATGATATGAAATGATACTTTGGTATAATGTATCACATGATACGTCGGTGAATCGTTGAGTCAATGAATCATGACGCAGCATTTTGGTCAAATTTTGGTATATAATTGTCAAGGAACTTTTATCAAAATGTTTTTGTTTCATCAACATTTCAACTTTCTGTTCACTTCTGCTCGATTTCGGAAATATAATAAACCTTTTTTTTCATGGCTTTAATGTGAATTTTCTAAGAGCTCAGGGCAAGAAATTCTATTGGGAAGTGAATATCATGTACTTTATTATATTCTTGTTCAATTGAAAATTGCCTTACTTTTATTGATTGGATTGATTGATTGATTGATTGATTGACATGTTGATTGACATACTGACTGACTTGCATAATGAACAAAGATAGCAGTACCAAGTGGTGTGATATGTGTAGTTATGGCCTCTGTAATGCCTCCAAGGAAAGCGTTCCTGGTTGAGTTTTTTCTAGTTTTAAGTAATACTTTCTATGTTTAGAAATTATTTTTCGGAAGTGCATACTTCGTGTGGAGTCCTTGATGCAATAATGCAGTAAACTATGGTTATAACGAACTCAACACTAATTTTAGTTTGTTATAACAGTTGTTCGTTATACTGTTATAAGCATATATACCACAAATGGACGGGGCAAAATAACCAGTTTGTTATATCCATCTGTTTAGTTATAAGTGTTATAACATAGTTTACTGTACTAGAAACATAACAACGCAAAACTATCTTCATTCCTGAGATTATATTCATGTGTTCCTGAATGTTGGCTGCGTAGTGCTAAACCTGCTGTTTATATAATATAGATGTCATTGCTTCCACTGATGCTGTGACCAATTATCAAGGAAACTCCTCAATAAACAGTAGGGGTATCTGCAGCAGGTTCGACCTGATGAAGGCAGACTGGGAGCGAAGCGGACACATTGACTTGTTGAGGACACCAGCTGTTGTCTCTCCAGGTGTTCTCCATAGACCTTGACAGTCCCATATATCAGTCTCTGATTTGCATTTAAATAGAAATCTATACTAACATCTCTGCTTGTTAATCATGGTAAGGGCTGATTAGTAACAAATGGGGCCCTGATGATGGATATGGTGTGAAATAGATAGTGTGTATACCATTTGCAATGTAAATTTGATAGATAAGTTCATGTTGGGAATATAATTCAGGAAATATTAATATATTTGATTTTTTTCTAAAAGCCTACAGCACTTATTTTGCAGAGTTTAAATGAATCAATAAAATGTGTACTGTCTGTTTAATAATTATTTGATATTTGATGGAAGTTTAGTTAAAATTGAGTTTGAGCTATTTTAAAAAAATATATATGAGTACTAGTATAATCAATATTTATTTCTACCACCTGATGCCTTCAGAGCTTCTTCTCTCTTTTTCGGTCTCTTATTCAGAAATAAGTAAAACATTTTGAAAAAAACACATTTCCATGATTCAAAAATTATTTGAAATAGTAATTATTAAGACCTGTTTAAAATTTATCTTTAAAAATACAGTCCCTGCGTTTTCTTTCCTACCTATATTTTGAAGAAATAAACAAAATACATTATTATTGTATTATTTTATATTGTATTATTTAATTGAGTTTCTTCTCTTTTTTTCGACCTTCCAACCTGAATAATTTTAGTCCCAAAGGAGTAAACTGAAAAAAGCTCTGGCCTAATCCGTAATACTTGTTCTTCACTTTAGCTGAGGCAATCAGTCATACTGGAGAAGAAATTGGCCTATCCGGAGATAGTTGATGGTATTTGACACACAACAGTAAATTGGTCTTAGTGTGTCTACATAGTCGCATAGCTTCATCGTCTATACTTCAGGGCCTGTATGCACTACATCCCTCTATTATGCGATGACCGAGGTAGTAGGTTGATGTCCAGTGCGAAGGTGTGATGTCGTTTTATCCGTGCAAAGGGAATTGAATAATATTTTATGGACTACGTGGTAATGAGGTGATAGTTGTGTTTTTTTATTGTTTTTTATTATTATCATCCAGATTTTGTATTCCTGTACAAGTTAAAACAAGCTGTGTAATACTCACTGATTTAGAGTACAATGTTCTATTACATGACCTTAATGGAGTCCTAAAACGATCTCATTAAAATCAGATCTTAATCTGATCGAATCGCTAAACAAAGATCTGGGGACATCCCATTAGGGGTCACGTCAGAATGACCTTTCATCCGACCAATCAGCGTGTCGCTTACCAGATCATGAAAGTGACAGTCGGAATGTGATTTCTAATCATGCAGCCTCGAAAACCTTTAAACTGGGTATTCCAAACGATAGGTATGGGCTTAACGACTGAATCTATACAATCTAGACCATATATTAGCCATTCGAGAATGTTCTTTTGTTCAGGTTTCAAATTTTATATCGAGAATTTGTCAAAATATGATTCGAAGCGTAGTCACAAATTTGAAATTAGTGCCGTAAAGCACGAGAATGCTGCATTCTTGTCAGTAATTCCATTGGTCGGTCAGATTTTGTGAAAGGTCGGTCTGACGTGACCCGTAATGGGATGTCCTCAGATCTTTGTTTAGCGGCAGCGAGAACTAACATCGGATTTTAATGAGATTGGTCCTAAAAGGAATTTTGGAACTTATTATTGTTAAAGCTTGATAATTTTGTGTTGGTTAAGTATGTATATATGATTAGGCTACAGCAAAACGAATTATTTCCTTCTTGTAAAAGAATAATTATGGTATCTGCTTGTGTGTATGTGGTAGTTTGTAGGCTAAAGCTAAGTATGTTATTTGTATTTGTATATTAAAGGGTTATATTTATGTAGTGGAATAACATTTTTGTATGTTTATTTATTTGGAAGTTTGCACAATATTAGATATTTGTTTGTTATAGGCAGATTCTGCTAGAAAAATAATACTTGCCATTCCATAAGTCATGTCCTGATAAAATATCCAATTCAATCTTGACGTTTCTATAAAAGACTAAATCCCTTAATTCTGTGTATGGTTATAGAGAATGGTCAGTTTCATCAGTTGATGGTGGATTGCTGTCACACCTGACTGTATTTTAGCAATTTCATCATCTGTACTTTTGGATGATGGTTGTTTATCGCAGCACTCGGCAATATTCCAGCTTTATGACGGCGGTCTGTGAATAATCGAGTCTGGACCAGACAATCTAGTTAATAATATCATGAGCATCAACCAAGTCAGCCTGTACTTTAGGACAGTAAAACAGTGAGGGGGGTGTTTGGTTATGAGGTGCGTTGGTATAAAAATGTTAGTTAATTTATTATGGCCTTACTTATTGTGGGTTCTGTGGCATCAAGGAATTGAAGCATGTGGGTTTCCTTCTGCAGATGTACGCTTAGTTCACTTTCAGAACTTTTAAAGCCATGCCAATTGATATTCCTCCTGTTTGAACTTGTGCTTTCATTCATCTGTTTGAGAAAATGTGCATTTCATTGTGTTGATGTTTTACTCTTAGCAACTAGTGCATTCAATCATTTTCTAGTTGACTTAACAGAATTTGCCAGATAACTGCAATATGTCATGAATGTGGGGCTTAGACCCTGATAAAAAATATCAGAAAACTCCCCAAGTTTTCATTTCTTTGGTGTATATTTCTTAAGGTTTGAAAATGAAGAGATTCGTGGGCTACTTGGCATTTAATATCAAAATTCAAAATATCTTGTTTTCAGACATAATGCTGGTCTACAGAAGCTGCATTCAAGGACAAATGTTATTCCTAGTCACGTTTTAAGGTTCATTGTTCACAAATAACCATGGTGTACATGGATTTTAGTGTTTATTTAGATCCACAAAAATAAACCAATTATTTTCCCACCAGCCTTTCTGTTTAAGACATAAAATTACCAAGAGATCATTAAATTTGTCATTACCATGGTAACATAGTGTTTTTGTGGGAATAAAAATGACTTCTCATAATTATACTACTTAAAAAAAAGGATTAACATGAAGAAGGACCGCAATTCTTTCGTATTTCTGTAGTTTGTCACTACATGTATTTAGTAGTACGAAAGAATTGTATGGTCCCTTACTTCTTATTTTTTTAGTAGTATATATTGAACTTTTGTCAACTGTCTGACATCACCTGCTTATCATGTCAGCACTTTTGCCATGTGTGTTTTATATCCAGCTGACAATGATCACTTGATTGCCTTGGTCGTCACTGTACATACTTACATAGGTTGTCAATAGCTTGTGAGCAAAACACACTCATGATTTTAGTCAAAGTTGGTATGTCCTTAACACATTAAATGGAGTTCTGTCAAAAATTGATAAAATCATGAACGAGAAGAAAATATGATACTGCCTCATCTTCGTCTTGATGTTTAAAACAAATATTGAATTATTAATTTTCAGAATTAAACTATAAAGTTACTTTTTACCTTATTTATCATTCAATTTCTAGTAGTAATTGGGTATTGGAATTTGCATGCGCAGTTCATACTTTCATTGTCTGCATTACTCCAGTGTGGGTTTTTCTGGTAAGCATACTTAGATATCTGAAAAATGAAGTAATTAATTTCTGTTTTGCTGTTAATCCAAATGTAACATGTCTGAAACAATGTCTACATTTAACTATACTACTCAAAATAAGCTAAGGATCACCTGATTCTTTGGTATCACTGTAGTCTGTCACAGCATGACAGTTTAACTATAGTAATGAGTGAGTTGGGTTTAACGCCGTTTTTAACAGTATTCGGTTATATCGCGGTGTGTCTAGTTAATGTTTGAAGAAAGCCCGAAGTGATGCAGGTCTCAGACCTTTACCACTTTAGTGAAACCCATGAGCACGGGTATGGCTGACAAGCCTAGAAACATAATCGGGGCGAACCCACAATCATAGGTTTCTGGCGTGCCTAAGGGACGCAAGTCTGCACCGCAAATCGCGACGACTGGGCCACCCATGCCCCCCTAAAGTAATATGAAAGGATCAGGTGGTCCTTAACTTCTTTAAAGTTCATTACGTTTGTGTTACCTGTACATAATGTCCTGAAACCATCAAGTGATACGGATGTATTTCTCCCTGTATTATTGACTCAATGAATTATGTGGTTGGAATAAAAGTATTCATTTCTCACAGTTGAAAGTTGTTTGTTTTAGTTACATTGTGCAGTAATCGACCTAATGTGGCTGTAACAGGTGCTGAAGTCGATACGACCTTGAACAGTCGTTGTCATGGTTACCATCAGCTTACTGGTAGTATGGAACGAAAGCACACAGTGTTTGTTGTTTAACAGCGCACTCAGCAATATTCCAGCTATATGATGGCGGTCTGTAAATAATCAAATCTGGACCTGAAAATCCAGTGATTGACACAATGAGCATCGACCTATGCAATTAGGATATGATGACATGCATCAACCAAGTCAGCGAGCTTACCTATCCTTTCCCAATATTTGTCTATTGGGACATGCATGTGTTGAAGACCGATTCAAATGGAAAAGTAGTTTTCAAGTTATAGGTTGCACAAATGTTGAAGTATAAAAATATATTCTAGGATCACAATATGAAAAACATATTTTTTACAGAAAATACACATATCAAAACCAAACTTTGCATTGCACCTCTTCTTTTAGTATGGAAGCAGTTCCCTAAATTTGAAAAAATCCATGTAGCAGTTTTTTAGGTCATACAAAAAAATGTTCTCGGAAGGACGGACGGATGGAATTCCTTGACATAACTATATACCCCCAACCTAAAAGGGTGGGGTATAACTATGTCATCTAAAACAAACTGTCCCCTCATTAAATTTTTAATATATATACAGAATGGCACTTCCTGAAAGAAAGCAACATCTACCACTTTCACACAAAATGATTCCTCCCTCTGTAACGGTGGAAACTACATGCAAACAATTCGGTCATGGACCAATTCATCCGATTGGAAAAATGTGTATAGTTCAGATAAGTAGGAGATCCTTCACATTCAGAAGCATCTAAATGTTTAAATTCTACCAGTCTTGACCTGCTCTCTTTAACCACAATCAGGGTTATCAAATCGAGGTGGAATCCTCAACAATGACCTTACGGAAACAGTGCCCAGACTCAAGTGTCATTGCCTAGCATCACTTGAGTTATCTTGTTCCATGTAGTTTGATGTCGTATTCCGTCGCCTCCTTAGCACGGTCGATACGGGATTTATCCATGGGTACATAGTACCAGCCCTTGTAGTCCTGACGAGAACTCATGAGATCCTTAACTTTCTTGTCAAGTTGCCTGAAAGAACAAAGTCTTGCTGTACAGTTTGTTTGTTTGTTTGTTGCTTAACGCCGCACTCAGCAATATTCCAGCTATATGATGGCGGTCTGTAAATAATTGAGTCTGGACCAGACAATCCAGTGATTGATATCATGAGCATCGATCCACGCAATTGGGATACGATGACATGCATCAACCAATTCATGGAGCCTGACCCCCCCTATCCCGTTAGTCGCCTCTTACGACAAGCATAGTTGCCTTTTCTGGACCAGACAACTCAAGATTGACATTGTGAGCAACAGGTGTATGACAGTGTATGGTGACTGACGGTCAACTAATTCTATGAACATGACAACCAGACCCATTTAGTCACTTATATGACAAGCATAGGTTGTTTGGGACCTATTCTAACCTGGAATTACCATTGGGGCCATCTTATTAAACATGAAAAAAACATACTTAACTCCTCCCTCCAATTTTTAATGATTTTTCAGGCTCATATCTTACAAGATGTGTTAATAACCAGTTTGGGTAAATACATCATTCAAGTTCAACAATATTTCAGTGAGAGTGTGTATGGTTTTACGCCACTTTCTGCCATATTCCAGCAATGACACAACGGGGGCATCAGAAATGGCCGTCACACATAGTACCCATGTGGGAATCGAACCCAGGCCTTCAGCATGATGAACGAACGCTTTAACCACTAGGCTACCCCACTGCCCCTCAATATGTCAGTAATATCATGCATGACATGTTGAATAACGTTGAAACACCAAAGGGAAGTAGATTTAAGCATTGACTAATACGGCGAAATCCACATGGATAAGAGCTAACAGAACAAGGTTATAAACCCATAATTAGCAGACCAGTCATAGCTAATTGACGCAATAGTGCAAATGAGTGAGTGAGTGAGTGAGTATGGTTTAACGCCGCTTTTAACAATATTCCAGCAATATCACGGCGGGGGGAAACCAGAAATGGGCTTCACACATTGTACCCATGTCGGGAACCGAACCCGGGACTTCGGCATGACGAGCGAACGCTTTAACCACTGGGCTACCCGACCGCCCCTAGTGCAAATAAACTGGTGCCACCTGTGTCCCAACATTAAAAACATGGCTTTGTGTTGCTGCAGTATAGTCACTGCTTCTAAACATACAAATTAAAATCTCACTTGAATTTTCTTTTCTCATTCTGTTCATGTAAGATATGAAGCGTCCTTTCGTATCTCTTCTCTGGCGATTCATAGACGTGCTTAGCCAAGAAGCGTACTATAGGACCCTGAAATGAGATATTTCATGACAATATACAGCAGTGCAGTGTTTAAGGATAAAAGTCAATTGGGTCGTTAAATTTGGGGATCCCTGCCATTCAGATACTAAATACATGTTCAAGGATCTCAACTGACCAGTGCTGACTACAAACCAAAGACTACAAGACTGTAGAGTGAAGAGTATTCTGAACAGATATTAGTTCTATCAGCATGTACACAACCTCCCTCCTTTCTTGGACGCTGATTTCACAACAGGCATCTAAGTTTGTTTTTTTTGTTAGGGAGCCAAGCGGCTCCTAACATTAATATTTTAGGAGCAAACAGATATGTTGAAAAGATATTGTCACCAGTTATGTTGATTTTTAGGTAGCCAAGTGGCGAGCAGTAGATAAATTTAAGAATGAGTGAGTGAGTGAGTCGGGTTTAACGCTGCTTTTAACAGTATTCCAGTCATATCACGGCGTGTCAGCTTAATGTGGGAGGAAAGCCCGAAGTGATGCAGGTCTCAGACATTTACCACTTCGTTGAAACCCATGAGCACGGGTATGGTGCTGACAAACCTAGAAACATAATCGGGGCGAACCTGGATTCGAACCCAAAATCATAGGTTTCTGGCGTGCCTAAGTGACGCAACTCTGCACAGCGAATTGCGGTGCCTCAGACAACTGGGCCACCTGTGCCCCCAAATCAAATTTAGGAAGCCAATCATAGATTTAAATTGCATTTGACAATTGAAATTCTGTTTTTGGAAAGATTGAAGTAACCAGGCTTTGTGCCCTTTGACCCCTTTGACAAACCCAAAGTCTGTTTGTACAGCAATGACATGATATTGAGCATTGAAATACCAGCTTGAGAGTTACCTTATGGTAGGGCTGTCATTGATTGGAAATTTTAGCATCGACATACAGACTCAAAACTATCGCGTTATTTATCGATTAACAATAAATTTAATTATCTGTATGTGTATAGATGTAAAATAGCCTGAAATAGACCTGGAAATAATAAATTTAATGCTAAATATGAACTAGGCCAGTCTAAGAAGTGAAGTGAACACCACAGTGAAGTGACACCAATACACAGGATATTCAAAGCCCTTTTACACGCGCTTCAGTGACTTTGCCCACACACGCGAAAAACCTGGGTCCTGCAGTAGGAATTGAAAATCCACATCCCAAAGAGGCCACCCTGACTGAACCATAAAATGATGAAAATTGAATTTTCTGCTGAATGTTTCACGTTAATCATGGTAATGTTATAAAAATAAATGTTTCTGTGGAAGTGAATTAATAATTTAGCATTGATATTTATATATTTGTATCAATACAGAATCAATAGCACAAACATATTGATACATCAACATGACGATATGTGATACATCCCCACCTTGTGGTATTCCCAGTGTTTGGGTTCATAGTCTTCCGGGACGTCGGACAGCTCAGCAGGACCTGAATTCAAACAAAACCATGAAAATAGCCACAGGCAGAGGGAGACTGTGACTCAATCACATTAAAATCAGATCATGGTTCGCGCTACCGCTAAACAAAGATCTGAGGACATCTCATTATGGGTCACGTCAGAACAACCTTTCATCCGACCAAACAGAGCGTCGTCGCTCACCAGATGGGGAAAGTGACAGTCTGTATGTGTTTTCTTATCATGCAACCTCAAAAACGTTAACATAGGGTATTCCGAAAAAGGGTTGCGTGCTGTACTTCTTATTCTGTCAAAATCACCAACAATCTCGCGCTTCAATTGGATAAACATTTGAAATGGAAGAGACTTTCCAAATATAACATAGTCCGTGGGAAATACAGCCATTAATTAGACATTTCAGAATTTTCTATGGTGTTCTGTTTTAAAATTTTGAACCAAGCATAGTCTTGAATGGAAGTAGCCAGTTTGAAACTAGCATCGTAAACCTCAAGAAAATTGCTTTCAAATTGGCTAGTTTCGACTTCTTGTTAAGTCATTTCATTGATCGGTCAAAGTTTGCAAAAGGTCATTCTGATGTGATCTTTAACCATAAAGACATAGTGTTCAAGATTATATCAGTTACACAGTGAAGTGCTGCTTAGTACTAGCCTGGACTCAAGCTGTTTTCATAGCAAGCCCACTGAGATACCATGCCTCAGTTTAACATAGATATCCCACAGACACAGTATACAGACTCTGATCCGATCAGTCCTTGATAAATGCCCTTAATGCTGAGTGCCAGGCAGGGTAACAACAAGTACCATCTTTTAACGCCTTTTAGTATGACCTAGGTAGGGATCGAACCGCTGACCAGTTGCCCTCCGGGGAGATGCTCTCTCACTAGCAGGGGCAGATTTAACAGAATTTTTTTATGTACGTAGCTAGCAGGGCTTGCTCCTTTTAAAAGTTACTGACCCTTCTCCAAACTAACTGGCCTACAAGTAAATGGTCGAGGACACGATGTGGCAGAACCATGGTCGCGTAACCACCTACGGGGGCTCTTGAAATTATAACACTCCTCACCCAAAACATTTTTTCCCATTTACCTCATTTCGTGGTGATTTATGAGCAAATAAATAAGTTTTTGTACTCAATTATTTACAGACCGTGGTCATATAGCTGGTATATTGTTGAATGTGGCATTAAACAACTAACAAACAAACAAATAATTGAGAAAGGGTAGGTGGATGGGTGACAGGAATCTGAAAACTTGACTACTGAAGGTAACTCAGGTTTCAGAGCTTACAAGACATGTGGCATCATTTTTTACCTGAGACTGTGTGAGTGTGTTAGTTCCAAGGCTGCCCTCGACATGTGGGATACTTTTTCAGTTATTGTATATTATGGCACGTCGGCATAAGCTTCTAGTTCTAGCAACTAACAAGCAGCTTGGGCCGAATACTCCCCAGGGACATGACAATGCAATTGGAACTCACAGTGATGTACTGACATGTACTTTTAGTATGGTGAAGTCTTGTCGTCTTTTTAAAAGTAGCCTATTATCAATAGTGGATGGGTACCCGGTAGGATGAGATGGCAATGTGCCTGTTAACCTTCTAGCACCTCACAGGCAGCTTGGGTTGTATACTCCCCAGGGAGAAGAGAATGAGATTTAAGCGCACACAGATCCGTTGAATGGGGTAATAGTACACTTTGAGAATGATATTCAGCATGGACAAAAGCACCATACAAATGGACTATTATTATTATATTTACTAAAAGCTTCAAAGTTCATTAGTCTGAGACGTTAACTCACCTACGAAGACATTGGCATAGAAGATCAGTGCCAGCATTGGTACCATACCGATAATGATGAAGAAATGCTGAAAGTGAAAGAACTCTGTGAATTAGACATCGGACATACTCAGGGCCAATCATGGGTCATGTTTCACAAAAGTCATCATGGCGCTACGACTGTCGTAACTCCCATACTTCATACTGACTTACGACAGTCATAGCCCTTCCCTGCATCCTAACAGGCATTAGGGGACAGTTGGATGACAATGTCAAGTGGGGGCCATGGGTAGATTTAACAACAAATTTGTTTGTAGCCAGCAGGGCTTGCTCCTTTTAAAAGACACTGACCCTTCTCCAAACTGGCCTACAAGTAAATGGTGTAGGCCGCAAAGTGGCTGAGCCTGTGGTCATGAAAACCACCTAGCAGGGCTCTGAAAATATTACAACTCCTCACCCCTGAAAATCCTTTTCCTGCACTCAGAGATAAAGTCTTGGCTCCCATTTGCCTCATTTCGTGGTGATTTATGAGCAAAGAAAGATGTTTTACACAACATTACAAAATGGCGGCTGGATGTCATTCAACCGTGATGATCGTCATATATCTTTCTTTGAGTTTACCTTCACAAGACCTCATTCCCGCTAAATATTTACTCATCAAAATTACATGATTCATGAGCAGTCCAATCAAAAAACATAAACATACATGGGGAAGGGGTGAAAGTTTGTCCAGCCAGATGGGCCATGTACTTTACTTTTCAGCAAGCCCTTTGTAATGTTAACTGGCCACGGGCCAGCAGTTTAATCGACCTCTGTAAGGGTGTTATTGTTTGAGGAACATTTTAGCATAAATCACAAAGGGCATGAGGCAAATGTTTCCGAGGCAATCATTTCCTCAATATCTATGAGGGTAAAATTACTACATATCCGATCCTTCTGTCAACAATTGTCGATAGCATTACAGACCGTTTGACTCCAAATGAGAACGATGAATTGCAAAATAACTCGAAATCTAGAAAAGTGTATGAAACATCAATACGGTACTTGACCATGAATACCCTGTACCCAACAAAATCTGAATTTTGTTTATTTTAAGACCCATGACGGATGAAGTTCTTTAAGAAACTATTATGTAATTTTGTATAGAAATGTGTACATGACACGTAGGGGGGACAAACCGTGGAAGGCACAGCGCAAGCATGCATGCACTGCACGTTCTGTGGTAGGGGAAATGACAGAGCGTTTGAGGGGCCGTCTCATGATAATTTCAGTCGCAATCTGACTCGCTCATGCCATAGATCTCGTCGTCGGAACTGCTGGTGCCTGAACCAACTGCCACTATTATAGGTTGGACTGTTGCTGGCCGTAGTCCATCTCGTGACCAATAACGTGGCTCTATCTCGTCAACGACTGTGGCCACACAATGCCTCCATGTTTCTACTGTTACCCGACCAAGGGAATCCTTTACGAATTGTTCAACATCTCGTAATTTGAACGTGGTGTTCGCTTGTCCAACGTCACCCTTGACGATGCCCCATACCAACTCGATTGGATTCAGGTCGCAGTGATAATGTGGAAGTCGTAAGACAGCGTGACCCTGACCCTTGATGTAACTGTCAACTTTATACACGAGGTCAGGTTTCATAGTTTTGATGATTTCATAGAGCTGTGGTTTCGTCGCTCGAGAAGGAAAGGTAATGGTTCCTCCGTTGCAGCCAAGTAACCATGTCTCCTTTACGGTTATTAGAGGTTGGAGTCTTGCTTTCTGGATCCTGCACACTATGATACGGTGCATTGTCCATGACAATGAGAGACTTGGTAGGCAAAGCAGGGACTAATTTATCTTTCACCCACTCCAGAAATACATTGCCGTTCATTTCTGCGTGGTAGTCCCTGTTGTCTTTGGCCTTGGCTCTAAAGACGAGGTCACAGTCTGGGAGAAAACCCTGACTAGCAGAACCAGCATGGAGAACTATGAGTCTTTCACCCTTTCCCATTGGAAACTTTCTACCAGACTCCTTACAGTCACCACTGGGTACCCACTGACTGCTGGCTGTGTGTGACGCATTTACCCATGTCTCATCTAAGAAGACGGGCTCATATCCTTCTTCACGTTTCTGCTTGATGGTACGAAGGTAATGATTTCGGAGACGAACAATGTCAGACCGGTCACACAACACAGCCCTATTTTCTCCAGTTATCTTTTTGTATTTGTAACCAAATGTATGCAACAGCTGCCATAGTTTGTACTTTGTAACACGTAAATCATGGTCAGTTTCAAGGTGTTTCTTCAAAATTCTTAGGGAAGGGTACTTATTTTGTGAGTGCGGTTTAACAATTGCACGTCTGACTTGATCCCTCTGAAAACTGTCTAATTTATCAACCTTGCGTGGTTTTGACATGTTCCCTACCTCTTTGGCCTGACTATTTGTATCTCGTCGACTAACAACATTTTTAAGTTTCTGAGGGGACATACCAAGAGCTTTTGAAGCTCGTTTCAAGAATTTATTAATTGCATAAAAAGGTTTTGCTCTTTCTGCTTCACTTCTAAAGAAATCATACCCATTCAACATCAGCTGTTTTACACATTTCTATACAAAATTACATGATAGTTTCTTAAAGAACTTCATCCGTCATGGGTCTTAAACTAAACAAAATTCAGATTTTGTTGGGTACAGGGTATTCATGGTCAAGTACCGTATTGATGTTTCATACACTTTTCTAGATTTCGAGTTATTTTGCAATTCATCGTTCTCATTTGGAGTCAAACGGACTGTAGTCATAAGTGTAGTCAAATGAGCTTGAGAAAAACAAGAACTACCAACCATGTCATCCTTCCATCGCTCCCACTCAAAGCGGGAAGGCACAACTTCCAAGGTCTTCTTATGGTCCCCCATCTGCCGGACTACAACTAAAGAAGAAAGCACATGTTGTCATGAGGATACTCTCTTGTTTAATCTCTATATAGCAAGTATAGTATCAGTGATCATACTCCAGTTCATGTCTACAGTTTGCTATGATGCTGATTTGCAGGATTCGATATACATTTGAGTGAGTGAGTGAGTGAGTGAGTGAGTGAGTGAGTGAGTGAGTGAGTGAGTGAGTTGGGTTTAACGCCGCTTTTAACATTATTCCAGTTATATCACGGCGTGTCAGCTTAATGTGGGAGGAAAGCCCAAAGTGATGCAGGTCTCAGATGTTAACCACTTCGGTGAAACCCACAAGCACGGGTATGGTGCTGACAAACCTAGAAACATAATTGGGGCGAACCGGGATTCGAACCCACAATCATGGGTTTCTGGCATGTCCAAGGGACGCAACTCTGCACAGCGAATCGCGGCGCCTTAGACGACTGGGCGCGTGCCCCCGATAAATAAACAGATATTCTCTACGAGTCATTCAATAAAAAGTGGACTAGTCCAATTTTACTACCCAGGTACCCAACCTCACAGACCGGACCTAAGTACAAACTGGACTCCAGCCTTCACAATTAATTACATTCATCACCTACATTATTCACATTCAGATCATAAATATATACCATATGTTTTGTGTGTATAATGCACACTTTTTTTTCAAGAAAATACTGCTGTGTAGAGGGGGTGTTACCATAACAGTTTTGTTATTGTTACAGCCAATATCTAATTTCTCATGTGAAAAGACACAGGTCTGGAGAGTCCTGGAGCTCTGCTCAAGATCCAACCGACCCGGGTACCAGAGTTACCCATCAGAGAGTATGTAACCATTGCTAACCAATGCATGGAATGCAGCCAGAACAAAGTCAACTGTCAACACAGATCTACAGCCCCCATCACTCTATCAAAACCTTTGATCCAAAAACTTGGTCAAAGTCCATTTTGACCAAGTTTTTGATAGAGTCACATGCTGTCAAAAACTTTGACAACATTTTTGACAGACTTTGATGGAATAGAAACCGATCCTATTTCTCGTCAAACTTTCATCAAAGTTTGATGATGCTAGTTCAATTTAGCCAACCATACAGCAAGGAACATTCTCGTACCCCTTTTCAACCAGAAGTGCATTGAGTCAAGTCAAAATGAGCCAACTATTTTGGACTGACGAGATGTTGGAAGCATTAATTGATTTGGTTCAACAACGAGCAGCCATACTCAGGACCAAATATGCCTTTGCAGCGTTAGAAACTAACAGATTTTGTCCACTAGTCCTTATAATGATAACATATATAGCAAAACCCTTAAAATGGGCCAGTTTCTACTAGTCCTTAGGATACCTTTACTATTAGGCAGTTTGGTAAGGACTACAGGACTAGTGCCAATTTCTAACGCTGCTTTGTCTACCCTGACTCCATCTTTTCAACATGGCAATACACAAAATACATCAGGGTTTGACAAATGTCTTATCTACACACTAGCCAACTGGTCCAGTAAGAAATAAAAACTACTGGCCCAGATATTAAGATACAAGTCCAGAGCTACAGATAAGCTGTGTATTTGCGTAAAATACCCATCAAATCTATTCAAAACCCAATTACTTTCAATTAACTTGCGTAAAGAAACGCATTCATTAAATGGAAAACTCATTTGTTTGAAAACAGCACTCGTAAATACCAAATGAAGCTTTTTCAGCATTCGTACAGCAGAGCTAATTTCCAAAACAATTACAAGCTAATTTACTTTCCGAGTCAAGCCTATAATACTCTTAACTGTTATATACATCTAAAAATAATTTCAGTTTCCATTAAATCTCAAAATGCTTACTTATTTTGGGAAAAACCCAATAGAGTGATGAATAGAAGAGTGAAAAAATATTGGTTACCCAATGAAAAATGTAATAACCCAATTAAAATAGAAACCTTCAAGTAAAAACTCAATTGCTCAAAAAGTTATCTGGAGCTCTGCAAGTCCAACAGAAATTTAAGAGAGCAAACGCTTGTCAATATAGTTAAAGTCATTTTATTCATGACTTTACTGACTTTGTTTGTTTCATGCACTTCTAACCATGGAAATTTGAGCTTCCACGACTGTTGGAATGTCCTCCCCTCTTTCTCGCACTTTGTGTTGGTTCACAGGGCTTTTCAATTTGCCGCAGTGGCTTTAAAAAATTCCACGAAGCGGTTCTGTCCGTGACGGCCATTACAGAATGCTGGTATGTGAAGCGTAGAAAGTAGCATTTATTTGATTGGTCACATTAATCACTTCCTGTTTGCTATGATGGAATCTATTGGTTATTGACAACTGGTCTCTCACTTTCCTACGTAGAGTTGTTATCATAGCAAGTGCATGCCACATGGACATAAATAGCCAGTTTACAGTGAGTGAGTGAGTGAGTGAGTATGGTTTTACGCCGCTTTTAGCAATATTCCAGCAATATCACGGCGGGGGACACCAGAAATGGGCTTCACACATTGTACCCATGTCGGGAATCGAACCCGGGTCTTCGGCGTGACGAGCGAACGCTTTAACCACTCGGCTACCCGACCGCCCCAGCCAGTTTACAGATATTTTATACATCGTGTTAGGGTCTCGGCAAGGGAGGTAACTAAGCTTTTGTTGACTGAATAAAAGATCGAGTGAGTTTTAACCTGACTTAAAGCGATTGGTACACCATATTATTTCAATAGCCAGCTGGTCCAGTGTAAATATAAAATTACTGGCCCAGATCAATTTTCACTAGCATCTGTCTAGTTGGCCAGCGTATTTGTCGAACCCTGTTCATATGACAACAGCAAAACATTCTTCGTCAGTAGCATCCATCTTAGCCCCAGCAAACAATTCTACGTTGTGACAACGTTGTGACAACGTTGACTTTTCGTTGCTACAACGTAATTCTGTAGACTCCCAGATTGGTTGCTACAACGTTGTGCGTAAACCAAAATACAACCAAATCAAGACGTTGTCACAACGTCCATTTTTTACGTTGCTACAACGTTTAACCAAAACGTCGCGGCAACGTACCCAGCCAACAATTCTACGTTGTTACAACGTTGTGACAACGTTTACTTTTCGTTGCTACAACGTTGTGATGTTACGTTGTCACAACGTAATTCTGTAGACTCCCAGATTGGTTGCTACAACGTTGTGCGTAAACCAAAATACAACCAAATCAAGACGTTGTCACAACGTCCATTTTTTACGTCGCGACAACGTAGGTATCGCATACTGTTTACATATGGCGACACTACAGGCATTGCAGCACGTTGTTGCAATGTCCATGTAGATTAACGCCTGTTTTATTCCTCAATACCTCCCAGGCAGCCTGAAAAGTTTGTACCAATCTAGTTAAGACGTCAGGTACCAAGAAATACATTCTGCAAACTGAATTCACTTTAACCCTATCCATGAAACAGCAAGTCAATGAAATGCACTCTCTTTTGGCAGAGTTTGAAATACGGCCAAGATATAAATCTAAATTTTTTAAATTACATGTACAATTTGGTAATATAATATTCATTTTCCAAAACAATTTTCAAGGCTATGTGCAAATTGTTCACAAATGTTTCAACACAATTAAAAGATATTGGATTTTCCCACGAATTTGCAAATTAAAAACCATCAAACAATAAGCCCTGCACAAACTGAAACATTTAATTTTTCTTGGCCTTACCTCATACATTCAGCATTGAGAGCAACACTGTGACAAACAGAATAGTCTATGCATCTGCTGTCCTAAGATCCATTAGGTAAACGAAATGACAATAGAATTCTGGTTGAGGTGACCTTTATTTATTTGTTAAATGACAAGTCAGAACATGGGCTGAGTTGCTGGGGAGCCTTTTCAGTCCTCAAATGAAAAGTCACAGGGATGATCTTCAACTGTATCCTCAGTCTCTCCTTATGCCTTGGTAACTGAATAAAAAATGACACAAATGTTATAAAATGGCAAGGCAAGGGACATATTTCTGACATAACAAAATAACGGTTGCATTCCCCAAAATAATGTTTTGATGTCTGATGTCAGTCTTTAAACTGTTAAAAACTGCTGAAAGTGCGAAGGCGCTGACACTAATACCATGATGCTCTTGGATCATACATTAGCAGAAAAGCTTTGATGACTGAATCATTGGTGTAACTTTATACCCCCGCCCTTTTAGATTGTGGGTATAATTAAATAAGAATCATCTAAATTTTAATTCTTGAAGATGTTTGTATATATTATTGAATCAGACATACCTTTCTGTCAGTGATATGTACTTTAAACAAATACGCTCCCACAATACTGTTTTCTCCACCTGAAAGAAAAACAGAAACCACAAAGTATCACATTCTTAAATAAACCAGTACTGTATAGATAAATCCCATTTACTTAGACTAATAGAGTATGATGTAACTGATAGTAATATTGGCAAATAGTTTTATCAGTCAACAGATCAACTGTAGTTTTTCAAAAGCAGTAACTTTACCTTTCTGCTGTACACTCAAACTAGTGATTCAAGTGAATATCATGGCCAAGTTTCTAAAACCTTATTTGAAAAATATGTACATAAATGAAAAATATATATTGCCAAATAAAATAAATAGTTCCCATATTTGAAGCAAGAATGTTGAATATGAATTATGAATTGGCCCACCAATAAGTGATAAAAGTGTTAACACTTTTGGGTATTTATCCTAATTAAAACTGTGATTTTTTTTAATACTTAGATCTACCTTAATATTTTCCATATTAATATGCCAGGATAGTTATATATGTTCTAACATTTACAAAGATTAGAAACATGGGGAAATAAACAAAATGCAATAGCTTATACAATACCAGACGAAGTTGAAACAGCTCTAAATATTTATTGAAATTTATTTGTCACTACGTTTATTAACATAGATCTAATACAGTTAAATATCGTTAAATATAATTCTGTAGTATGGTAGCCTACGTGGCAACATATGCAGATCGAAAACCGAAAGAATATGGTTGCTATCAATTCCATTGTATTTTTCATTGGTGCACATTGGCTACACCTATCTCACTTTAATAATCAACAAACGATGACCAACTCACTGACAATATATGGTGATATTTAACTTTTGACTATCGACTAGCTTATCATCACCAGAGAGGACAATACCGCAAACACCCCGTTATAGCGCGCGACGAGAGACTCGTTTTACTTTTGCTCGTTTTCATTAGAAAGGAGTCAGACATAGATCTAGTTATCGGAAAATGATGAATTGATTCTTTTTTCGGAAATAATAAAAATACACATGATAAGCACCTTGCTATGATAAACTTTATAGACAGCAGCAACAACCTGATGATCCACATTTAGGATACTTCAGTCAGTGCTAATTAGGCCTTTTCGGAAACATCAAGTATGTTTCTGTCTCTTCCCGAAAATACGACTTTTTTCATAACATCATTGATCACTTTAGACTTGGGCTATAACTAGCAGCCTACAGAGAGTCGATCTGAATACTTCCATTGTTTTGATTCCCTCTTTTCGCTGTATAAGAGAAATCTACTTAACCTTTCCCATGGCCTGGATGAGCCACATTGTTGCACAAAAATCAAAGTCAGAAGATTAGTACATGTAAACTTTAAATAGTAATGATTTCAGAAATAACACAGAAGAAATGGCGATAACTGTCAGTGCGGTCAGTAGGCGATGCATAAGTTAGGCCTATTTACAAATCTACACGCTTACGAACGAAACCCGAACATAATATGACGGCCACAAAACGCCACCAGATTGAATTCTGGTCAAAAATATACCGCTTGCCCTTGGCAATTACCCTTGGTATCCATAAAATAATAATATGGAAAAAAGTCTTGGGCCCCCTTCACCTCTATCATCAAGTTCTGTGTATCATATTAATATCAACACTGACGCTCAGTGAAAATGACCGGCAAACTGCATTCTTAAACCCTGCCACTTCTGAATAATACGATACATTTAGATCATTTGACGCACTGCATGCACAGAAACATATCAACAAGCGGAGACTATTTTTGAAAAATTAACTTACCTCAATCGAATTCACAGATCATCTGTCCAGTTCCAGTTGCTGCACAATCACTTGCTTGTAATATATTATGTCCAGAGTGAGTTTGAGCTAAGATGGCTGGTGACAACAAATCTTCCGCGACAATGTGACGTCATTCTGACGTCACTTCACGAGGCAACAGGCTAAACTTTTCTGCAGTCGCTCTCACGCCGCAAAAAATACGCGCCAATTGTTTTTAACTGTAATATTGCTTGTGACAACATTTAGTTCGTTAATAGATATATATGTTTAAAAAAAATAACACTAAGAGATGGTAGATCTACAAGTGGTTTCCTAAACATCATTTACAAAAAGTACTGTAATGTCCAAAGCACAACGTTATCACAACGTTAATTTGCAACGTTGTTGTAACGTTGTCACAGATATACGCAATTACGTTCTCGAAATATTAGTATTGAGAGATGAAAATTCAAATGCCGAATATATAGAAAGGTAATGCATTACTAACTTGGTTTTCTGACAAATTCATGTTGATTTTGATAAAGCAGTTCTATTCCTTCTATTCTATCGAGAAGCAAACTCAATAACGTTTCACCGACGTTTCAGAAACGTAGTTACAAAACGTTGTGTGATGTCCAATGCACAACGTTTTCACAACGTGAATGTGCAACGTTGTTATTACGTTGTGAAATAACGTTGCAGGTCGACGTTAAAATAACGTTGTTACAACGTTATATCACGACGTTACCAATCCACAACCTTTCAACAACGATGGAAGTGCGAATCATGCATGTATGGCGAAAATGTTATTGTCATTGTTTGTTGTTTAATCGCCTCTTACGACAAGCACGGGTTGCTGAAAAGTGAAAACCAAATCTAACATTATTGTAATTTTCTGCCAAAATGTAGTTTATTTCGAGTAAACACCTTTGTTTTTACGCTTTTCGCGATGAAGACTATTTGACGTCGCACCAACGTATGAGAAACGTTGTCATCATAACGTTGCATGGCGCCCGATGCACAACGTTTCCACAACGTAATTTTGCTACGTTGTGATTACGTTGTCACATAACGTTGGAGTGACGTGATAATAAGGTGTTTACACAGACTTTAGTTTATTTACGAGATGGAAATCCTGATTCCGAAGATATAGGTAAATAATGAATTACTGCCTTGTTTTTGGCAGAAATTGTGTCGATTTGTATGTAAAACTTTTGTTCATACAATTTTCGTTAAGGCGACAGTTGACGTCGCACCAACGTTTCAGGAACGATGTAACAAGACGTTGGGAAATATTCGATGAACAACGTTTTCACAACGTAAAAATGCAACGTTGTTATTACGTTGTGAAACGACGTTGCACAGTGACGTAATAATAACGTTGTGACAACGTTGTATCACTACGTTACCAATTCACAACTTTACCACAACGTTGTGAAAACGTAGTGTGTTAGCTGGGTTAGCAAGATAATTCCCGCCAAAACACTGACGGCGTGTCCAAAACTTTGATGAGTGTAAACACACAAGTTGGACCAAGTTTTTTTATCAAAGTTTTTGATAGTGTAACAGGGGCTTAATGCAAGGTAAATGTACCAGAGTTACCCATCACAGAGTATCTAACCAATGCATGGAATGCAGCCAGAACAAAGTCCACTCTCCACAATCTAATGCAAAGTAAAGGAACACTTAAGGAGATGACCTGATTTGTCAGGTGTTGGCACTTTTTTTGTAAGCACTGAATGTAATGGAATTGAATTCTTCTCAAATTGTCGTTTTCTTATTGTGGTATTGTATATTCCTCGGAAATGTTCAATCTGGCCAACATCAATTGCTTGTTTATCAGTGTTCAAAATTAAGCATATAAAGCAAGGGATCCTAATGCTCAGAACTGTACATTAAAAGAGTTGCTAGACACAAACATATATCAGCAATACCAAGTAGTCATTGTCAATACTTAACCATGTTAACAGGTTATACAAGTACTGTGATGCTGAACATGTTGAAGATGCAAGTTCCCTCCTAATGTTATCATTTTATAACAGCAAAACCTTTTTAACTTGATTGAGTTGGGTTTATGTCGCTGTTAGCAATATTCCAGCAGTACCATGGCGAGGGACATCAGAAATGGCCTTCATACATTGTACCTATGTGGAGAATCAAACCTGGCCTTCAATGTGATGAGCAAATACTTTAACTGCTAGGCTACCCTTTTGACGCTTGTTAACCTCAAGTACCGGGGACGGTTATACTTAGTTAACAGCTGTTAACCTCATACTTTAACTAGAAATAAAACAATGTAATTAAAAATGAAATGACTCAAATATGCAGTTCTAGAACTTCTACCAATATTTTAGCCAAACTGAAGAATTGTTGGCAATAACATGTGCATAGGAATTGATGGTTGTAACAAGGTCATATCGGGCCGTAATTTCTGTCATGTTGAGTGTATCAGCACTGGAACATAACCGGGAAATATCGGACTTCGTCCTATTTTGTGATTATTTTAGAAAATAATTCGAAACAAACTATGCATGTATGCCGAATACTGAAACTCAAACAGTGCTCTTAGTCAGTAGTGAATACTCTCGTCTTTCCATGGCTTATTCCAATACAATTACGGTTGTACCTGTAGTGGGTGTCTTTGATGTTTTTGCAAGCAGTTGTGCCCGCGTACAGGCCCTCAATAGAAGCGAACGGCCCCCCTGAATGGAGGGCCTAAGGACACTCAAGACCACCATCTTGAACGTGAAGGGCACGGCAGGTGCGCACAGAATTTGTGTACATGATTCTCCAGCAATACATTTTGTTTTTCGCAAAGAATAAATAGTATTCTATGATTTTCTCCGAGACAGTTATTACTGATGTCTTTGTGGAAAATGTGGAACAAAAACATGATCGTTTCGAATTTTAAGAAAATAAAAATAAACATATATGTCACTTGTACATCACGTTGGCAACAACAACAGAAGAGCATGGACTTGTTAGGATCAATCTTAGGTTCTATGCAAAAACCGCCGTCAGTCGGCGATGCAGAGAGAAAGAAAGCTAAAGGTTTTTACTTTTGTGTAGCACAGAATAACCCAACTCAAGTAATCATTTTGATCTTAAATGTATGTCCATGATAAACATAAAACAAGAAAAATCTGACATGTTTTTTTGTCTTGGTCCTTGACTGTCACATAGCTTGTCGTGAACCAATTTCAAACAGTAAGATTTGTATTCAAACCTGTGACTATTTTCTTGAATTTGCAAGGAAGGTTACCACCCTGCTTGTCCAGAGGAAGACTATAGGCATCATCTTAAATAAATGTAGAATTAATCCAATTAAAAAATGTATACATCACAAAATCACAGTGTTATGTTTGGAAACTAGATGAAGCTTACACTTACATGAAGCTGTACTACGCTTGCACTGTACTGAACATAGGGCTGAGACAAGACCAAATTTACTACCTGGGTACCCACCGACCTATTACCCGACCCTACCCGGGTACCCACTGTAGGTCTTAAGAGGTAGATACAAAATGTCCGATTGGGAATAGTTCGACTGTAGCCCTGGACAAAATATATTTAGATACACGTATAAAACAATCTGGTCATGCATATGTTGAAGTTGACTGAAGTTTTATTTTCATTCAAGCACATAAGTCAGAGGGAATGGGTGCATAGTCAGAAAGAAATGGGAACATTTGTGACTTGTAGTGTAACCATATAGATCTAGATCATTCTTGTCATTAAAACAATATATCACATGACCAACCACGGGTCGGGGTAGTCCTGTGGGTACCCAGGTCCTTCTCAGTACCCACCCGACCCAGGTACCCGAGTTACCGGTCCCAGCCCCACTAGAACACTTGCATTTCTGTCTCTAGTCTTTACAAAATGCAGCCCAACCTGTTGTGTAGGTTAGGGTTGTACCTGACACTAAAATGTTCATAGACACACACACATTTCGGTAATTTGGTCACAGAAAAAATATGTTGCACCCAGAGACACACACAATAATACGCACTTCGTGAGAAATATAAAGGTCCTGTAATTAAAGTACTTATCAAAGCTTACAGTTCACTCCTTTATTTTTATTACTTTACAGGACACTCACATTTCCTGTGGACCCTTGAAATTAATTATTGGGGGTCCCCTGGACTCCTAGTTAGGTGGGTCAAGGTAAAACCCTGGTAGGTTATGTCATAATGCAAACCAAGATGGACTGTTGAATGGACTGGTCTGCTTATTGTACATTGTTAAGTTAGATAAGATAATGCTTTGTAGCCCATAAGGGAAATCATTTCACGTAATACTAAATGGGGATTAAATGAATACAAATACACATTTAAAACATAGACGTAACATGGAACATACAATATAAAGAACATTAATAGTTTTTAAGATAAATGATACAAGTGCTGTAGATATTTCGTTAAAAAGCTTGAAAACACTAGGATTTAACATTTGTTTGAAATGATATGCTAACTGGAATAAAAGAGGTCCTGGATTGTTTAGATTTAGCTTTCAGAATGAGATATCTTTATCAAGATGGTAAAACAGAATAACGAGTTCAAGAATCTATTTTTCAGAGCAAAAGGAGCTGTTTGAGAAGCAGCAAGAAAAAGAAAAACAGAAATTAAACAGCTTTCGTGAGAAGGTGGGTCACCTGGAGTTTATAGTAGGTTCTTGCATTATAACAATCTTCGTAGATCAGTGGCAACCAGGCAGTGTTCAGAAATGCGTATAGATATTACCTCAAAGTTTATTTTTGCTTTCCTTACAGACGATAGCCCAGTCTCTTGTAGCGCTCAGTTGCGTTAGCTATCAAGACGACTCAAGACCGCTTATGAGCCCTAGCGGGCATTGTCGGACAGTGGATACAACCAGAGCCTACTGCTCCTTTAACAGACAGCTCCTTTACCAAACAGCTCCTTTAACTGACAGCTCCTTTAACTTTAACTGACAGCTCCTTTAACAGACAGCTCCTTTAACAGACAGCTCCTTTAACAGACAGCTCCTTTAACTGACAGCTCCTTTAACAGACAGCTCCTTTAACAGACAGCTCCTTTAACTGACAGCTCCTTTAACATGTATATTCGCCCCGATTATGTTTCTAGGTTTGTCAGCACCATACCCGTGCTCGTGGGTTTCACCGAAGTGGTAAATGTCTGAGACCTGCATCACTTCGGGCTTTCCTCCCACATTAAGCCGACACACCGTGATATAACTGGAATACTGTTAAAAGCGGCATTAAACACAACTCACTCACTCACTTTAACATGTTTAATGCAGTGACACTGCTGACTATTACGCAAAACAACACTCACCCTCTCTACTCTCCCCTAATACTGAAATACTCTCTGTCATAGTGTTTTGTTACTATGGTTACTTTACCATGTCAAATATCAGTTAATGCTATGTGGATACTGTAGTCAGAGAAAAAAGAAGTTCTGTAACCATAGTAACTGTTTTTACTTTCATTTGATATATTGTTTGTTTCCCTCTGATCTAGATGCAGAAACAGATCCATGAATTCATCAAAGACAGTTCTAGACAAAAGTACCAGTTTAAACCTATGGACAAAGTTCTACGAGCTATTGTGTAAGTAGATGCCTGACAGTTAACCTGAAGTACATGGGTGTTCATTCCACATTGATCAACACACACGATTTATACTCTTATTCTGATTATTGTAATTTTACCCCCCAAAATGATTAAATTTTATTCATTTTAATATTATGGCCTTCCCTTTAAATTTTCTGTAAATTTTAATTTAATTAACAATAACTGTTGCAGACATGAAGTAGCGGACGTTGCAGGACTGACATCCTTCTCATTCGGGCATGAGGAAGAAGATCGATATGTCATGTTGTGGAAGAAGGTTTGTATGCCTAGTCTGACAGTTAAAACAAGACATCCCATTAGGGGTCACGTCGGAACGACCTTTCATTCAACCAATCAGAGCATCGCTTACCAGATTATGAAAGTGACAGTCGGAATGTGATTTCTAATCATGCAACTTCGAAAACTTTAACACAGGGTATTCCAAATGATAGTTACGGGTTTAACGACTGAATCCATACAAGCTAGACCATCTATTAGCCAATTTCTTTTGTTTAGGTTTCAAATTTGTAATCGAGAATTTGTCACAATATGTTTCGAAGCGTAGTCGTCAATTTGAAATTAATACCGTAAAGCACGAGAAAGCTTCCTTCTGATTGGTCATTCCATTGGTTGATCAAAGTTTGCGCAAGGTTGGTCTGACGTGACCCCTAATGGGATGTCCTCAGATCTTTGTTTAGCGGTAGAGAGAACTAAGATCTGATTTTAATGAGATTGGTTATCAATTATATCAACCCAAGTTGATAAAAGTGGAAAAACTCTTGAGTGTTGATATATTTGATATCAAGAGACAGGAGGGTGAGATTTTATTTATCATCCAACATCATTCTTCCAACTTTTTCAGTTTGTAGACAGTAATAAGCAGTGTCTAAGTGTAAAAAGTACTGCTAACAGCTTCAGTGGCAGAGCCATTAGTGATGTCATTTGATTGCGACGTCATGGTAACCAATGATGTCACAATGGCCTGCAAAGCATTGTGATGCAATTTCATTGCAGCGATATCTACACACTCCGGCGCAGTGGCGACTCAGCATAACACCACTGCCACAGGCTAATTTGCATATCACGTGACCAGACTTGTCTCTTGTTTGTAAACAAACACGCTTGTTCAGAAATCAGTGTAGAACGGACTGATGCTATTTGGGGGCACTTAACATATTGTTTTGCATAATTATATAGATACGCTACTACCACTGCGACAGTAAATTTCATGACAATATATATTTATACATCAAAGTGACCGTATCGCTAGCTCTCTGTTTGGCCTCCATGACAGCACGTGGAGCCGTACAACCAATGTAAGCAATGGAAAACTACGCAAAAACAAGTAGATTTTCATGTAATAGGATACTTTCTCAATGAACCGTAACCATTCTTTGACATTAGTTTATGAAAATGTGTAGACTTGTCAAACATCAAACGGATGAAAAGCATATTCAATATCTTGAATGGACTGTGAAAGATGTGACGAATCGTCACATGGCGCTGGCCTGTGGCAGAGGTACTATGGTGGCTGGCTGGCTGCCGGCCACAAGGAACTCTGGGTAGGAGAGTGCAATATCTACAATGTAGTTATCGCTTGATCTCATCAAGCAGTATCTCCTGTGAGAGCCAGTTTGGGATGATAAAAATAGTTCTCCAGCAGTGACCTTTGAAAGGTCAAGGTGACAGTGGTTACCACTTTTCTGCAACTGTTTTAGCCAATAGTTGTAATATACGCTTTAGTTTTATTTCAATAGCATAGTTATGTTTTTTGTTGCGTATTTGATACACTAGAATTAGATTTGTCTGCATATTTCAGTTTATTTAATGTGTATTTTACACAGCTTATCTCAGGCTCTGCTCCCATTCATTTTAGAGTGTGGGGTAGCCTAGTGGTTAAAGCTTTTACTTGTCCAGCTGAAGGCTCAGGTTTGATTCTCCACATGAGTACAAAGTGTTGTCCATTTCTGGTGTCTCCTGCTTTCATATTGCTGGACGATTGCTGAAAAGTGGCCTAAAACAATATTCAGTCCCTTTTTTCCCTGTTTGCAGGAGTTTGCTCCAACTGACGACGAGCTGTTGGCGTACAGGCGCGGGGAGGTGTGGGACCCGGAGAAGGCAAAAGAACTCGCCAAACAGAAGGTATCCCTTTAAACAATAATGTCACTAGTTTACAAGACCTGTATATACTGTTTGTTTGTATTTTCTGTGCAGTGAAGGTATGGAACCCTTTCAATCTAAAATAATTGAATTTAAGAAATTTTACATCCAAGACCAACTGTATAGTAGACAAGATGTTGGTAGGGTACTTGAGTATCAGAGAAGAGGTCAGGTTCAGATGGAGTTTGGTAACCGACCAGGGGAGATAACTCACATGTTCACTTCTCTAACACATGTTGCAGACATGGAAGGGAATCGGTTTTGACTTAGATGATGCCTCAAAAAAGAAGTGTGAATTGTGTGGCATATTACACTTTGAAATTGTTTACTCAAGTCCAGGTTGGGTTTTCAGAAACGGGTATTGGAATGTTAGCATAACTTTTACAACTTCATATGACCCTTCTCGCTGTTTATTTTAACGCTATTATGTCTTGATATCTTAGGACAAATGTCAAAGAGGTTAAAACTATCTCTTGTTCCTGTAGGCATCTTCTTTGATCAGTGATAAGCAAATGGCTCTTGTCACGTATCTGCATATATTTTGTATATTCACTCTATGAATCCAGTCTTGGTACTCAGGATCATATTGTTCATACAGAGCTCCAGATAACTTTTAGAGCAATTGAGTTTTTCCTCGAAGGTTTTTATTTTAATTGGGTTATTACATTTTTCACTGGGTAACCAATATTTTTTAACTCATCTAATCATCACTCTATTGGGTTTTTCCAAAAATGAGTCAGCATTTTGAGATTTAAAAAAAAAATCAAATAATGTTTTAGATGTATATACTGGTTCTAAATATAGGCTTGTAGATTAAGTAGATTAGCTTGTAATAGTGTTTTGGAAATTAGCTCCATTGTACGCATGCTGAAGAAGCTTCATTGGGAATTTACGAGTGCTGTTTTCAAACAATTGACTTTTCCACTTAATGCATGTGTTTCTGTACGCAAGTTAATTGAAAGTTCTTGGTTTTTTAATTTTTTGGGGGTATTTTACGCAAATACCTGTAACTCTGTTCATAGCATGCCTTGTGAATCACTAGATATTCTTCCCTTTGAAGATTCGGGTTAGATTGTTGGACATCGTATCCCAGTTGCGTGGATCGATGCTCATGATGTCAATCCCTGGATTGTTTGGTTAGGCTATTTGCAGACCGCCTCCTTTTAGCTGGAATATTGATGAGTACGGCATGAATCCAGTCCTGGTACTCAGGATCACATTGTTCATGTGAATCAACTTTAAGAAACAACGAGACATTCTTCCCCTTGAAGATCCGGTTTAGAATGTTGGTCTTCAACGACCCATGATTGTTTTATGAAGATCCAAACAGTATGGCTTAGTCAGACTTAGTTGATGCAGTCATTTGTATCCCGGTTGTGTGGATGGATGCTCATGATGTCAATCCCTGTGGGTTGATGATGCCAATAATGTGGTCTGGCTATAACTGGAATATTGATGAGTGCAGCATTTAACAACAAACAGACAAACAAACATAACTCATTATTGTAGGGTATTGTCATGGTGATTTTGTCAAAGATATTTGTTTGGTCCATGGTTCTTGTCTGTGAAACATAAAGCCGAACAATTTATCATTTTAAACAATCACTATTGAGGTAAAACATGAGGCAAAATATGTTTTCAGTATTTTTTGGAACAATTTAAATTTTTTTTGTTTGTCATGGGCCCCCCCCACAATACATTAAATGGTCAGGGGCCGGTCTGGTAGCCAAGTGGTTAAGGCGTTTGCTCATCACGCCGAAGACCCGGGTTCGATTCCCGACATGGGTACAATGTGTGAAGCCCATTTCTGGTGTCCCTCGCCGTGATATTGCTGGAATATTGCAAAAAGGGGCTTAAAACCTCAGCCGGCTCACTCACTCACTCACTCACTTAAATGGTCAGCAGATAAGCTGAAGTCGTTGTGACAAACTGACATGATGGTATATTTGGCAGGAACTTGATGCCCAGTCTGAAGCCAGCCACTTGAAGCGTAAACACGAGGAGGTGGCCCCCTCCAGCAACTACCGAGAGAAATACAAACATCTAATTGGGGAAGAAGCAGCCAAGGATGCCGCCAAGTCCACCATTGCCAACAAATCTTACGGTTTTGGTCAGTGAACTATTGCCTTTTCTTAATGTTTTAATTTATCCTTCGTTTTTCTGTCAAAAGAAAGCAGTAAGTGCATTGAGGGCAGGAAAAGTATACAAATGTATAAAATATTTAGACTTTACTAATATTTTCATTTATTTGATTTTTAATTGAAAATGATTTGTCTTCACATTAAATGTTTTCTTAGTGAAAAGCACGTCCACCCTCATTCAGCAGCCTTGTGTGATGGTTTTGTCAGAACTGCGAAAAAACTTATATAAAACCATGCAGTGTTTGTTGGTTGAAATTCAAGTTATTACACTCAGTCTGTGAGAATTCCATCTGCAGGGTTGTGTCCCTTTGGTGTGCCAGAAACGTATCATTGAGGGTTCAAATCCCGTAGTAAGTCTGATTTTGTTTCTAGGTTTGTCAGCATCATACCTGATCTCACGGGTTTCACTAGAGACCTGCATCAATTAGGGCTTCCCCCCAAATCAAGCTGACACGCTGTCTGCAATACTGTTGAAAGTGGCATTAAACCACTCACTCACTCACTCCCTCAACCCGTAAAGATTCCGGGGTCTTTTGCAACCCATTCCTGCCGTAAAAGACAACTATGCTTGTCGTAAAAGGCAACTAACGGGATCGGGTGGTCAGGCTCGCTGACTTGGTTGAAGCATGTCATGGATTCCAATTGCGTGGATCGATGCTCATGATATCAATCACTGGATTGCCTGGTCCAGACTCGATTATTTACAAACCGCCGTCATATAGCTGGAATATTGCTAAGTGCCGCGTTAAACAACAAACAAACACTCACTCATACAGATGAAGCATATGTGTAAAAAGAATTTGACATGATGTGATGTATAATGATGTCAGAGTTTCAATCACCATGGTAACAATGTGATGCCCTGTTTGCAGTTCCCAGTCACAACAAGCGAGACCAGCGTACAATCGAGCAGGTGCTTGCCGACAGTCGGGCCAAGAAGAAGCTCAAGACGGAGGGGGAGTCTGCTGTTGACCCGCCAGAGGGCGCTGTAGCAGACCCAGACACGTCACAATGATGCTGTCGTTAGGTTTTATCGTATATTTGTTGATGTTTGTTTTAATTCACTGATGTAAAACACAGAACCACAGATTGTAAGCCATGCTGTGTTAATCATATTGCTATTGTTCAATGACAACCCATGCTTTTTGTAAGAGGCGACTAACGGGATCTGGTGGTCAGGCTCGCTGTCTTGGTTGATGCATGTCATGGTATCCCAAATGCATGGATCGATGCTCATGATATCAACATCTGTATTGTCTGGTCCAGACTCGATTATTTACAGACCGCCGTCATATAGCTGGAATATTTCTGAGTGTGGCAAAAAACAAACAAAACAATATTAGAATCTTAAAATCAAGAGATTTTGTAGTTGTAGTTGAAATTGAACGGAATGGTTAACACAGGGCATTAAATGTTGAAGAAATCTTAGAGAGGTATGTTACACCTAGATTGGAAAAAAGGGTTTGCTGTGCGTTCTTTCATGCAACAGGCTCACATTGACTAAAAAAATAAAAGAATTGATTCTCAGACAATGACTTTTGAAAATATAGTGCGGGCAGGCAGTGTTTTTTTTTGTTGGCTTGTTCAAACTAGTATGTAACCAAATAAACAGTTATGTACCATAAACCTTGGAAACGGCTTCCCTACAAAAACAAGCATACTAACACCTATTGCCGCCATTACCATAACACGAGAAGTAAAGGGAAGTAACTGCATGCTAATTAGATCACATTGAGATCAAGTATTTGGATTTCTTAAAAAATGTTTAAATGGAAATAAAAACGAAACGTGCGGCAAACTTGATGATATGGGCGGTGCTCGAGAACCAAGACTGTTATTTTTGTTAGCCTTAGATATGTTTCATTAAACCCGGATGTAACAGTATGGTGACAATAGGCAAGTCTCATTATCAGAACACTGAATACTTGTCAGACATGGTATACATGAAAGGGTTTTGATGTTGATGGACAATGGTAGTCATGGTAATGGATGCATGTGTAGGTAATATAAACTGAATGGTTACATGTGTGGTTTTGTGTTAAACACCAGACTTGTTTAAGTCAAGTGATAACAGAGGATATATTGTTTTCTCAGGATTGTGTACAGATTTCTGTATTTAATCTTCCTTCATAACAGAAGGTGTTCATGGGAGAGTTTCTTCAGGGATCTCAGATCATCCTCATGTATCAGGGCTGTTTTTTACAGAAGGTTTTAGTGGATGTATACGTTAACACACTTTGACAGTGTTCATTCCCATTTTGTCATTTTGCTGTGCACAATATCTTTAAAGGTGTAAATCTTGGTCATTATTTTGAACGAGTACAAATTCAGCAGAGTCATCATAGTGCTGCATCCAAGCCATCTTCCCGAGGCAAGAGCATCCCCTAGCCTTTTGATCAAAGTCTTGTTTCCACCCTTGCCACATCAAGCCCACTTTCCTGTGCTAAATATGATTGGACTATCACATATATCGGTAGTCCAATCAGAGAACGTTTCACAAAACCAACATCCACGACTGGTTCACCTTCGTATGAAGTGATTTACCGCTGCCGGTCTTTGTTGACACGACTGTGTTATTTTTATCTTTTAACACCAAGAAAGTGGCCTTGATGTGGCAAGGGTAGAAACTAGACTTTGATATGGACAAGTGGACACGCTTGCCTCGGGAAGATATGGACTAGTGGACACGCTTGCCTCGGGAAGATGTGTCACAGCATGACAATTGTAGATTGCTGCTCATGGTTTGGAATGGAAGATTTCCTTGGATTATGATGTCAGTCGGCACCATGCCAACGTTCGTAGGTGGCCCAGTCCTTGAAGACTCTGAATTTCGATCTGCATTTTGAGTTTCGTCTCTTGGCAGCCAGAAACCTATGACCGTAGGTTTGAATCCCGGTTCGTCACGATTATGTTTCTACGTTTGTCAGCACCATAACCATGCTTGCGGGTTTCACCAAAGGGGTAAATGTCTAAGACATGCATCACTTCTGAATTTCCTCCTCAGTTGAGGTGACACGCCGTGATATAACTGAAATACTGTATAAAGCGGGATTAAACCAAACACACTCACTCACACACACAGAGAAACTGTCACTCATATGGCAAATATCCACTACATGAATGTTAACTTGTTGTCCTGAATATTGCCTTGATATATATGGATGGTTGTACCCTATAGTGTTTTTTGTATGTTTTGAATTGATTGTCCAGTTTTAGCATTAGATTTGTATACAACTATGTGACACCTTTGTATTATTCTCGTCAGTTTACAGATAAAAAACATTTTCTGCAATGTTTCTTAAGTCAATCAAAATGTTCCTGCTTATAAACCTACAAATTTTATTACTGTAAATGCTCGATTAATAGCCAATTCTCAAACAAGCGCCTATCTCTCAATCAAGATTTTCCCTGTGAAAGTCGGGGTTAAAATAGGTCTTCTGCAACCCATGCTTGTCATAAAAGGCAACTATGCTTGTCGTAAAAGGCAACTAAAGGGATCGGTTGATCAGGCTTGCTGACTTGGTTGATGCATATCATTGCACCCCAACTTCGTACATTACTACCCATGATGCCAATCACTGGATTGTCTGGTCCAGACTCCAGAATGCGGTGTTAAACAAAGGACAAAGACCTACACAATGTGGGAGGGAACTACAACCCTGGAATAACGGACCAATCCACTATCTTGTGCTACATGTTAATCACAGTAACAGCGGGGCGGTCGGGTAGCCTAGTTGTTCAAGCGTTCGCAGTCACGCCGAAGACCCGGGTTTGATTCCCGACATGGGTACAATGTCTGAAGCCCATTTCTGGTGTCCCCCGCCGTGATATTGCTGGAATATTGCTAAAAGCAGCATAGAGCATATTCACTCACTCACTCGCAGTAACAGCAGATGTTATTTAGTAGATATTTATTTATCGTGATTCCTTTGGATTTTGGTCTTCCTGATCACTAGTTGGTTTTTTTGTTTAACTGGACCTCCTCTGTGGTCTGGTGGATAGAGAGCGGAAGGTTGGTGGTACGATCATTGGCCCAAAAGTCCTTAAAAGATGGCACTTGTTGTTACCCTGCTTGGCGCTCAGCTTTAAGGGAACAAAACAAAACGGCTCAGTATGCTGTGTGGATGAGTGTAAAAATCTTGAATGTGACGTAAGACCTCAGGCCACCTTCCTGTTTAACACCACACACCATAAAATCGATGATGGTGGGGGGTGTAACTAATCAAGTCTGGAACAGACGATCCAGTGACTGGTAATACAAGCTTGACCACCTGATCTATTTAGTCGCCATGTATAAGTTGTTGGGGACGTGTAGTCTTGCCCAGACTCTCCAGGGGTCATTGTATATGCCTGGCTTGCAGAAGTGATTGTCTGCAATAATCACCAATCCCCCCATCAGCCGTTAGGTTTTGATTTAATATCACACGGTCATCCACCCATCCTCTCTAAAGTGAACATTGGTTCTCTAATAATCGTAAGGTGAAGTGGAGATGAGGGTTATTGATTATTGCACTATAAAGCTACGTGTGTGGCTGTTTGTACTAGTCTGGACTAATGCTGATTTTATAGTGCTAGCCCACTGAGATACCATACTGCAGTTTAACCTGAATACCCCACTCAGACATAGTACACCTACTCCGAGCCTACCAGTTCTTGTTTTAGCGCCAGGCAGGGTAATAACAAGTACCGTCCTTTAGCATCTTTTGGTATGACGCGGCAGGGATCTTACCCCTGACCTTCCGCTCTACCACCAGACCATGGCGGCGGCCCCAATCGTCAATTAATCAAGCATCTATAGTGAGTGATATTTCTTCATCTTTTTCATCTCAATACCCCAAAATACTTTGTTAACAATTGATCAAACTGTTCATGCTTTGTAACTGTCCATGGGCCAATGGTAATATCTTGATTACAAATTAAAATCACAATTACAAATTACAAATTAAAAACTTAATGTCAATACTGAGTTCACTTGTGATGATCCAAAATACACCTTGCTTGAAAAGACCAATGGCTGTCCCTTAATTTATGTTCTTTTTTTTTATCCCCCCCCCCCCGGCATATAATGTGGGGGGATATAGCGATCAGCCAATCTGTCTGTCAGTCCGTCTTTTCGTCCATCTGTCCATCCGTAATCATTTCCTTTTCCGGGGCAGAACTCAAAAGCCATTCAGTGTATTTGATCGAAACTTGGCAAATCTATCAATCACATACTGAAGTGGTGCCTTTTGATATTTTGGGATTTTTAAATTTTTTATTTTTTAAAATTGGGGATGGGGTTCATTTCCGGGGCAGAATTCGAAAACCCTTCAGTATATTTGATGGAAACTTGAAAGATGTATCAGTCACATGCTGAAGTGGTGCCTTTTGCTATTTTGTAATTTAAAAAAAAAAATTATTTGCTATTTAGGAATGTTTCAAAATCTCATTTTAGACACAAGTTAGACTTTGCTGAAAAGGAGGTAGGTGTCGTTTCTGGAGCAGCACTAAAAAACTGTTAACCAGTGTTGAATCAAACTTGGAACATGTATTATTCAGGGGTTGAAGTGGTGCCTTTTGCTATTTAGGAATTTAGATATTTTTTTTCCTGTTTCTGTGGCAAGAAGTTTTACTTTGACTACATCTTTAAAACTTATAGGTATTCCTCCTTGAAACTATGCACACATATGACCAGTGCTATTTAGGGATTGTTAGAATTTATATTTTTTTCGTTTCCCTGGCAACAAGTTTGACTTTGACAGTTCATGTTGGTGTGTAACTGACATAGAACTACAAAGTTCCCAATTCCATGGTATTGCTTTGATAGCTCAATAACTACTCTTGTATACTGACAGACAGATCAGATAGAAATTCTTCATCAAGTGGACTTAACAGGCAGATCATTTGTTTTTTCGAATTTGTAGGGGCCGGGGGATTTGTCATCTTCTGATGACTCTTGTTTTTGCTCTTTTTTCTGTCTGAGGTACATTGTATCTCCATCACTCTCCAACAACTTCAGACCCATGGCTTGGTCAGGCTTGCTGACTTGGTTGATGCATGTCATCGTATCCCAATTGCATGCACACCGTAACTGGACACCAGGCACACCGTAACTGGATTCCAGGCAGACCGTATCTGGACATCAGGCACACCGTAACTGGACACCAGGCACACCGGAACTGGAGACCAGCCACACAGTAACTGGACACCAGGCACACCAGAACTGGAGACCAGCCACACAGTAACTGGACACCAGGCACACCAGAACTGGAGACCAGCCACACAGTAACTGGACACCAGGCACACCGGAACTGGAGACCAGCCACACAGTAACTGGAGACCAGGCACACCGTTACTGGACACCAGGCACACAGTAACTGGAGACCAGGCACACCGTTACTGGACACCAGGCACACAGTAACTGGAGACCAGGCACACCGTAACTGGACACCAGGCACACCGTTACTGGACATCAGGCACACAGTAACTGGAGACCAGGCACACCGTTACTGGACACCAGGCACACAGTAACTGGAGACCAGGCACACAGTTACTGGACACCAGGCACACAGTAACTGGAGACCAGGCACACCGTTACTTGACACCAGGCACACCGTTACTGGACACCAGGCACACAGTAACTGGAGACCAGGCACACAGTAACTGGAGACCAGGCACACCGTTACTGGACACCAGGCACACAGTAACTGGAGACCAGGCACACAGTAACTGGAGACCAGGCACACCGTTACTGGACACCAGGCACACCGTTACTGGACATCAGGCACACAGTAACTGGACACCAGGCACACCGGAACTGGATTCCAGGCAGACCGTATCTGGACATCAGGCACACCATAACTGGACACCAGGCACACCGGAACTGGAGACCAGCCACACCATAACTGGAGACCAGCCACACAGTAACTGGACACCAGGCACACCGTTACTGGACACCAGGCACACCGTAACTGGACACCAGGCACACCGGAACTGGAGACCAGCCACACCGTAACTGGACATCAGGCACATCGTAACTGGATACTAGGCACACAGTATGTGGATGCAAGACGACAAAACTAACACTCGCATCAACAGGGTTTATTTCGTGACGTTTAACGTAGTACAGTTTATAGTTAGAGCCATGGCTTTAGGAACAATTGGTGACAGTTGATGACAAGTTGGTGACGAGTTGGTGACAAGTTGAAGCGTCAACAAGTTGATGAGGTTCAGAAAACTACAATAAACAATAGCTTTCTGTAAATTCAGAAACATTTACCAATTTTCCTAGTATTTAACACATTCGAAATTACATCCAAATGAAGCAATAAATACATTGACTACATTGAAATTATGCAAAATTACCAAGCACACTTTTGCAAATATAATGTAACAGTTGTGTGAAATATCGAAACAATTTTGCACTAAATTAATATTTTGGCATATATACAATTTCAGGGTGTTCAGAAATAAACATAATACCTAACAATGAAAGGGAAAGGTACTCACATGTGTCTTTACATAGTTCAAATATAGCAGGCAGTAAGGTGAGAACCTGGCAGCATGGAGGTCCAATACACACTGGTGAGCATGTGCTTCAAAATGCATGAGCTTTGAAGAGGTCACGACATGACCTGTGAGCTTTGACATTGCACATGAAGGTTAAGGTCACGAGGTAGTGGAAAGTTACTGAGAACATGTAAACATTGTATACACGTATCTTAGAATTGATACATATTACGTGGAAATTGAACTTTAAAACATTAGTGTAATAATAAAGTGTCTTAATCATTGGACCACCATGGATAATAAGTTAAATGAATTGTAATAATTTTAACTTGATTTCATGTCATTTCACTAACAGTTCATACTTTGAAACATTAGGAAATCTTGCATCTACACCGTAACTAGACACCAGGCATACCGTAACTGGACATCAGGCACACCATAACTTGACATCAGGCACACCGTAACTGGACACCAGGCACACCGTAACTGGACACCAGGCAGACTGGAACTGGACACCAGGCACACCGTAACTGGACACCAGGCACACCGTAACTGGACATCAGGCACACTGTAACTGGACACCAGGCACACTGTAACTGGACACCAGGCACACCGTAACTGGACACCAGGCAGACTGGAACTGGACACCAGGCACACCGTAACTGGACACCAGGCACACCGTAACTGGACATCAGGCACACTGTAACTGGACACCAGGCACACTGTAACTGGACACCAGGCACACCGTAACTGGACATCAGGCACACTGTAACTGGACACCAGGCACACTGTAACTGGACACCAGGCACATCAGATTCAGACATCAGGTTCACTGGAACTGGAGAACAGGCACACCAGGAATTAATGACATTGCCTACTTCCAGATACCCCTATCAATGTTACCAAATGTCAAGACACATACTAAATGCCCAAATTGGGATCTTATGTGAAACATTTATTTCTATGGAATGGGTCATATATGGATATATCATGTGTTGGAGACACAGGCATATTTTTAAATACGATTATACAGAGGCTGATCACAGCTGATAGGAGGTCGTTATACTCTAGCTTCAAATGTGCAGTTAAGTCAGATTTACGTTTACACTGTATCATGTAACTGTCAACGTAGGAAGGCTTAGAAGCTCATTTCACTCTCTGAGAAGACAAATTTAAGAGTAGGTCTGTATATGATACTACAGATATCGAGGCAACTTGTTCATTATATAATGCCATTAAAGATAGACAACATTATTTTCTAATAGTTCATTGAGTGAAAATGGAAATGCTGAAATAATGTTGAACACCCTTTATGATTTCATGACGTAATAAGGCCTGTTTGAAATCATTACTTGTTAGTGTAAACATTGATAGATTACCGTATCCGATGTAATAAGCGCCCCGCCCTAATAAGCGCCCACGGCGATATTTGCTAATATATTGGCTAGAGAACAATCTCAATTAGCACCCCTTCCGATTGTTCAATGTACATAAGACTTGTATAATACGTGTGTTATATGCATCCTTAATTATGGGAAATTCAATTCTGGAAAAATATATCTGTCGTATATAAACATTTCAGGATGTCAGCATAAACCACGAAATTTACGATCTTTCAACTCTGTTGTTTATCACCAAAATAATATTCTAATAAGAGCCCCATATTTCTAGTTTTGAGAGCACCCTGGGCGCTTATTATGTCGAATACGGTATTCATGATTATGACTGTATGGACTAATGGTCAAGAATCAACATTTATTAACTGACTGACTGACTGACTGACTGGATGACTGATTGATGACACATTCTATGATGTATCAAGTTACAATACAAAGTATTTTAATATGGTACAAAGTGGTACTGCAGTTTACCTTGACAAGCACAGATGCACCAAGCAGTTGGGGTGATCTGCATGTCCCAGACACCGGCCCTCCTCTCTACACGTGCGGCGTTGACTGTTGATGCCTCGACATTCCAGGTGTATAGGGCTGGGACGAGTCCAAATTTACTACCCGGGTACCCACCCCGCTATTACCCGACCCTACCCGGGTACCCACTGTAGGTCTCAGGAGATATCTCAAAATGTCCGATTGGGAACATTTTTAGCATTGCCCTGGCAACACGTATTTAGATACATGTATTAAACAATCTGGTCATTTAGCTGAAGCTGAATTAAGTTATATCTTTATTCAACCATATGAAAAATCAGAAGGAATGGGTGCATAGTCAGAAGGAAATGCGAACATTAGTGGCTTGTAGTGTAACCATAGAGTTCAAGATACTTTTTGACATTAAACAATATATCACGTGACTAACCACGGGTCCGGGTAGTCCTGTGGGTACCAGGGTCCTCCTCAGTACCCACCCGACCCGGGTACCCGAGTTACCTGTCCCAGCCCTACAGGTGTAGCCTACAGGTGTAGCCTACAGGTGTAGATGATCCCAGATGATGCAGAGACTGTTGGAGCACAGGTGTGAACAGTCCATGGTCTTCGGTAACTGCACGCTCCCATGGCGAATCATGTAGGCCAATCTGTGAACCAGTACAGTGTGCCAAGTGCTGCTGTTGGGAAACTGAACTGTCATCCTACCCTAGGTAATCTGTCCTGACATCTGTCTGCAGCCACCCCACAGGACGCATTCTCCGTTGGTTGAAAGGGATGACCTTTCCCTCAGCTTCTGGAGGTATTTCTCTTGCCACCTATCCATTGGCATCGGCCTGTGAATGTGACATCATTGAGAATAGTAGACAGGAAAATACTCTCTGAACTCGTTAAAAGAAGGGTCACTGGGCTCCTTTTTATTATATTTTTATTAAGATAACTGAACAACTGTTTTTTCTGTACGATATGTTCATTTCAGAGACTAGATGTTAGTCTACTTGACAAGCACAGATGCACCAAGCAGTTGGGGTGATCTGCATGTCCCAGACACCAGCTCTCCTCTCTACCAGTGCGGCGTTGACTGTTGATGCCTCGACATTCCAGGTGTAGATTAGGGCTGGGACGGGTCCAAATTTACTACCCGGGTACCCACCACCTTATTATCCGACCCTACCCGGGTACCCGCTGTAGACATTTAGAGATAGGTACAAACTGTCCGATTTGGAAAAGTTTGACCTTAGCCCTGGCAAAATGTATTTTGATTCACGTGTAAAATGATCTGGTCATCCATACACTGAAGTTTACTGCATCAAGTTCTATCTTTATTCAAACATATAAAAGTCAGAAGGAATGGGTGCATAGTCAGAGAGAAATGGGAACATTAGTGGCTTGTAGTGTAACCATAGAGTTTTGTCATAAAAGAATATATCACGTGACTAACCACGGGTCCGGGTAGTCCTGTGGGTACCCGGGTCCTACTCAGGACCCACCCGACCCGGGTACCCGAGTTACCCGTCCTAGCCTTAGTGTAGATGATCCCAGATGATGCAGAGACTGTTGGAGCACAGGTGTGAACAGTCCATGGTCTTCGGTAACTGCACGCTCCCATGGCGAATCATGTAGGCCAATCTGTGAACCAGTACAGTGTGCCAAGTGCTGCTGTTGGGAAACTGAACTGTCATCCTACCCTAGGTAATCTGTCCTGACGTCTGTCTGCAGCCACCCCACAGGACGCATTCTCCGTTGGTTGAAAGGGGCGACCTTTCCCTCAGCTTCTGGAGGTATTTCTCTTGCCACCTGTCCATCGACATCGGCCTGTGAAAACGTTTTACATAATGTGACGTCATTGAGAGTAGTAGACAGGAAAATACTTTCTGAACTCGTTAAACCAGACGGTATCGTTCCAGGTTGGAAAATGCGTCCATATTAACCATGGACACTTAATACGATATATTTAGGGTCCATGTATTAACGAACGAAAAGGAAATCAACGTAAAAGCGTACGAATTTTTAAAACGCCCCAAACTTTTACGTTGAGGATAGAAGAGGTTTTCAGACTCACGTGTCTTACGCAGTTGTATTTAAGAGTTACATATGTTACTGAATATTCTAATGTTCGGTCAAAATTGGAAATGGAGTCAAATTATAACGGACATATCGTAAATGTAAAGAAAAATGGCGTCCTATGTAATAGGATCATTTTCCGTCATTGAAATATGAACGGCAAATGTTATGTTTATTGTCAGACACCAAATTCTTTGAAGTTGGTTATATATCATTCACTACATGGTAAGAGACAGACCGACACAACTAAAGGAGCGTGGCCTTATAACTATATAGAGACGGAGCTCGGTTGTTGTTGTTGAGATAAGTGTAACGTGATCTTATATCCTTGAACCATCACTGTCTTGCATATCTGGCATCATCCAGATATCAACAAAGTTAAATAAACATAAATGCAGGATCAAATATACCGAACTTAGACCATATATATTATTGTCTGCACTAACGAAGACAAGCGTGTTGGGAATCAAACCCGCACAGTTAATTGAGCATTATCAAACGTTACAAACATAATCCTAAAAACAAGCAAAAACGGACGTGCGTCGCACGAATCACATGGTGTATGCCTGAATGCTAGGATGACTGCTTATCATTGACGGCAATTGTTAGAAGACACGTCATGGCTCAGCTCTTGTTCCTATTCATGGAAGTCGGTTGTATGCGCGCAGATTGATGCGCAATAAGCTCCTCCTAGTCGTACACTAACATGTCACCAACCCCAGTTTAACCTTTTAACTGAAAGAACAGCTATGTGTATGCACATTTGTAAGACGTTTATATAGCGTTTGGCTGTAGGTCTAACTTCTTTAGCAGAGACGGTATTTATTCCATTTGAGGTAACAAAGAACTTTCATAACAATGACGTAATTTTCAATATTCATGTTTGATGTAAAAAGGGGGAAATGTTTCCCAGGCATCGGCGCGTGGCTTTGAATTACAGGGACGAGATTCTTGCTCAGCACGTCCCTCACCTCAAAGCCAACGCCAACATGACGTTTGAACAAGTCACACTACACGCATCACGTGCAACTTTCTGCGGGCTAACCACGTGGATTTATGCCTTGGCCAGCCCGAAGTCCGGACATCAATCCAATTGAACATGTGTGGGACTCTTTGGACAGACGTGTAAGACGACGTCAGAATCAGCGTCAGAACATGAAACACCTCATGAAATCCAGAGTGACGTCAATGAGACGCCGATGCAGAGCTCTGATTGATGCAGACGGTGGCCACACCTGGTCTTAATTCAACTTCCACAGTAACGTAACGTCACGTCCGCAACATCGTTCTACGGATGTTTCTGTGACTGATTTCTGCTGATATCAACTCACAAGGCAGTGCATGTTATGGAATATTATAGCATAGTTTACATCATGGTGACAAGAAAATATTATTTTCATTAAAATAAAGTCCGACGTTTCTTTTTTTGTTCAGTGTACTTGCAGAGCAGTCCAAGTATTAATGAATAATAATACCGTAGTAAATAAAATAAATGCAGTAAAAATATTTTAGAATAAGAAAAGCTCTAACTCTGAAAAGCCCTCTCCCAAGTTGACCTTGGCGTAATGTGACGTGATTAGGAAACATGGCAACTGTAAACATGACTGATGTGAATCAAGTCTGAAAAAATTGTTCCACTTGATTCTGTAACTTGGAAAAACACTGCAATGGTTTAGCTGCCAAATGGTAAGTGACACCCGGTGACAAACATGACGCATGACATATCAGGTCTGTCATGTATCTCAAATTTCATGTTAAGGATAAACTAGCTTAACAGATAATAGATTAAAGTCTCTTTAAAAAATATACAACGCAATTACTATCAGAAGTCCGTTTTTGGTTTTGGTTTTCTTTGTTTAAACAATGTCAATATGAGAAAAAAATGGACATTGAATATTGTATACAAGAATTAAGGGCGTGGCCAAATAGGAATTCTATGCTACTCATCATTTCTTCTGTTGGGTGAAATAACAAAAAATGGTTAATGGAATAAAGAGTTTTATTTGATGTTTTGTTGTTTAACAGCCTGCAATTGGACATGTCTGGACCAGGCAATGATTGATATTTTGTGATTCCGAATGTTGGGGTACGATGACACGCTATCAACACAGAGCCAAACTATCCCATCCATTAAGTCACCCCCAACAATACACATGGGT